TGTGAGTCGATTACTAACCCAAGATATTTGTATTGATTTACAATTTGTATTTTTTTTCCAGCAACTAGTATGTCAGGAGTAAATGAGGCTCTATTGGCTTTACTGAAAAACATACCTACAGTTTTTGAAATATTTAGCTGCAGGCAGTTCTCCTGCAGCCAGGATGTGACAAGATTCATTGCTTTAGTGAGTTTAGCAGCAACAATGTCCTTTGAGCGACCGTGAACAAATAAAACAGTGTCATCTGCATACATCAAACATTCAACTTCAGAGCAGACAGTTGGTAGATCATTAATATAAAGGCTAAATAAGAGGGGGCCTAATATTGAGCCCTGAGGAACCCCGGTGGTTAGCCTAAGAGACTCAGACTTGCTGTTGTTAATTAATACAGATTGTGTACGATCATGCAGGTAAGATTCAAACCAACTCACAGTGTCACGAGAGAAATTAAACTGTGAGAGCTTAGTAAGTAGAACAGAGTGGTTAACTGTGTCGAAAGCTTTCCTGAGATCCAAGAATACCGTCCCTACTACTCCAACCTTGTCAAGAGAAGATTTTATTTTCTCAATAAAAAGGCATGTAGCCGTTTCAGTGGAGTGTTTGGATCTGAAACCAAACTGCATGGCGTGAAAAGAGGGGGAGCTATTGTTTAAATACTGGACAACCTGCTCAGCCACCCATTTTTCTGCAACTTTGGAAATGGTCGGAAGAATGCTTATGGGTCGGTAGTTATTCAGAGAGGTTGGAACACCAGATTTATAAACTGGTGTAACAATAGCAGATTTCCAGGCCTTTGGAAAGTGACCCACTGGAAATTGAGAGATTAATGATGGAAGCAATGGGAGTAGCCAGAGCGGATCCTGAATCTTTAAGCATGTTTGTATCCATTCCAAAGACATCCCTGGCCTTAGATGGTTTGAGGGTTTTAATTATGTTAATGACTTTGGTCTCAGTGATGTTTGTTATGAAAAAAGACTGTGTAGCAGACAATGAGTATTCTTTTTTTTGTTTTACTGTAAAGTTCTTAGAGATTTCTGCTACAGATTCAATAAAGTAATTGTTAAAGGCATCAGCTATTAATTTTGGTTCTGTTGAAATGTCTCCATTTAATTCAATTTGCATTTGTTTGGTCTTACTTTTGTGGGAGTCACCTGTCAATTTTTTTATATAATGCCAGGTTATTTTAGAATTTCCACGTGCACTTTTCAAAGCAGTGATGAAAAAGTCAGCTTTAGATTTTCTTATTTCTTTCACTACTCTGTTTCTTAGAGAGATAAATTGATTCCTGTTATAGCCTGATTGTACAGCCAACTTCAAGGAATGATCTCGTTCTTTCATCAATTTCAAAATAGATTCATTTAACCAGGGAAGACCATTTTTTTTAGCTCTTAGTTTAATTTTCCGTGTAAATTGTGTAATAATTTGCTGTATTTTGTTAGAGAATTGAGAACAGTCCTTGTCCAAGTTTATGCCATAGAGTAATTCATCCCAATTTACACCACTTTTTAGTTCGGACAGTGGATTCTGCAGATTCCGGTGAATGTGAAGGTCGCTGACGTGCACTTGTTGATGTTTTTGAGTTAATAGGAGCTTCTGTTTTGTGCGAATGTTTTGTTTGAGAAATAGTTGGAGCTCCATATAAACTTCTTATCGTCAATGCTTGTAAGTTACTGATAATAACTGTGTAGTCAGATATGTCGAACTTGTATGTGTAGCCTATGGTAGCAGCTCAGCGTGTGTGTGTGTGTGCCTCCTAAAATCATTTTGGGTGGCACTGAAATAGTCAGGATGCTAAACTGTTGTAGCGTCCTAAGCCATTTTTCCTCGAATAGACAACAAAACAGACAAACACAACAACATTTGACACGAACACAAAAGCAACACAAAAGTACAATCCCAAACAGAACAAACATGGCAAAAAAATAAGAAGAATATTAAAGGCAAGACACTTTTCCCTCATTACTTTGTGTGGATCTCAAGTGTGAGAAACTGAGGATGTGGCGGAGAGAGGGGCCGCCAGTGCCTCAGTCTGTCCCAGGGCAGCTCAGGCCACAAAAGTCATTCAGCTCACGGTGTTTCGAGAGAATGAATAATGCTCTGAATTGTAAAGCGTCTTTGTGACTCTCTGTGTGAGAAAAGTGCTGCACAAACACTGATCACGGACTTACAAACTGCACACAACAAATACAAAAGGAAAGATTAGCAGAGCAAGAGTAATGGTGCAGAACAGGGAGTGTCCTTAACGTGAGTAATCTACGTGTTGTCGAAGTGAGTGGTTTTATAGTCCAGCCGCAGAGAGGAACAGAGTTTGTTGTGGTGCAGGTTGTGGTCTGAGCCTCGGGGCTTGTTTCTGGGATCTCCCTGAACTCATGCATCCATATCGTTCACTGGACCTGACTCACAGTACATCTGTAATATAGTGTTCAGGCCATCTGGAGACCATACACCTAATTCATTCAATGTATTCTTGTATAGCCCTAAATCACAACAGTAGTTATCTTGGGGGACTTAACACAATTCGCCAACACAGATCAGAGAATCAAACAGTTCAAACTCAAGAAATGCAATGAAAAAAAACACCACATAGATCCGTTGGTCCATAAAGGGTCCATTAATGTTTTTAAGTGTCGAATGTCCTGGAGCATCACAGCTGTCCTTATGTTAGACCTTCCTGCATCAGCAAGAACAAACCTAAGTCTATGAAAGAGATAGCCTGGTCTTAGCCATCGGTAAACTCCGGAAATTTGTACAATTGTGTGGTACAACCAGGCTAAGATAGAGATGCTTACCATAGTTACAGTAAAAGCCCTAACCCTACAGTAAATGAAGAACTACTTCAAATCAATGTGTGTTTCAGTGCGAGGAGTTCGTTGTGTAAATATAATTCCAATCCAAAAATATTTTTTTACAAAATAACATTTCTGCTACTAATCCCTGATCAGCTCCCTAGTCTCCATGAGTGTGTCTTCAGCAGAGAAGAGGCCGAATTAAACAGGGGTGGTTTCTGTGAAGTGGTTGTGACACATTGTGGGGGACTTTTCATCTTCAGTGGAACTTAAAAGCTAATTTTAGGAAAGTACCGCCCTCTCCACTTTTTGAAAATATGTTTTTCCACTATGTCAGACAATACAGACGTAGATAACTTTTACCGATAGTGATTTGAAATGGATTTCTTCAAATAGAGTCCTAGCTTTACCTGTCCCCATCATGTGAAAGAATCTCCCAAAAACACTCTGGTCTTGGCCGATGAGCAGTACGACGGCCCCTTGTCACATATCAACAGAATGATTGACAGTTATTAGGAGGACCAATATTCTAGATGATCCACCAGAAGAAGAAAGTCCTCCTATACACCTTTAAGTCCCCAAGCTCCAATCACACTGTGCTAACTCAAAATCATCACAAAAGAAAAGTCAAACTATTATCAAACTATTCAGGCCCTAGGGTGTGTGTTTGCGTGACAGACTGGCAGAGTGGTTAGCTCTGCCTCACAGCGACACGGTCCTCCATAGATGATTTCAGCTGAATGACTAAATCTTCAAAGCTGTATTTCTCCAGCCTCAGAACAGCCTCGTGCTAAATCCAGAGGAAACGTGTCAAACGTGTGTTGCTGAGTGAAAACATGTGTGTGTAATGAGAGAAAGAGGAGGGGGATAATCTGAAGCAGACCTGTCATTTGTCACAGAAAAAAGGGACGAGACCCAAAACCTCTGCCATGTTCAGGACGATACGATAAACCTCTATTCATCCCTCAGTGAGAGAACTTCAATGTCATAATTGCACACATTATTATGAACTTATTGCACTATTGCACTTCTTTATTATGCCAGAGTTAGAGATTTTATACTTTCCTCTTTTTTCTGTGTGCAACTTATTCCTATTGTTTGTACTGGTGATGCAACACTGACATTTCAGATGGTTGGTATATTGCACTAATTGCACTTTTGAGAGATTTCATATTTAACCTTTTCATGCATAGTGGTCATTACAGCGGACAGCTATTCAATAGTGGCTTCCTCATATATGTGTGAGTTTTAAAGTCTCAGTTGCACATAAGTCACTGAAGTGGGCGCCTGTATGTCATGCCATCTGCACTGCCACCTACTGGTAAACAAACAAATGCAAAAAAAAAAACAAAAAAAAAAACATGGTTGACAAAAGAGAAAATGTGCTTAGTGGAAAATCTGAAGAGGAAAATCTGTCCATACATTCTATAAAAAAATATGTGGACATCATTCTTACGTACGGATTTTCTGTTTTGAGGAAATTGCAATGTGTCCACTAAAATGGACATTGTGCATCGCTAGCTACATTTTGAACAACAAAGCATAGTATTACTGCAAAAATGTTTTAGAATGTTTTATTTTTTTCATGCCTCAAAAGTAATTAGAACATTTGGGGAGAAGCCAAAATAATAATAAATAATAAATAAATAAATAATTCAAGCATGATGGGTTAAGGTCTAGCCTGGCCTTAGCCATTTGTAAACTCCCGTCAATTATTATTTCCCTGCATGTAAGTCTGGGTCTGATCCTAGTGGCTGCAGTTACATGAATACAGTTGATTGAATCCCCTCCTACTATTTGACAATGGCGGCGAATGCGATAGTAAAGTAATCCGTTCTGGGTCCTTCCAAATTATCAAGACATTGAAGCCGGAGCAAGAGGAATGTTTAACAAATGTCATTACTGGCAAAGATTTTGTGGCTCTACTCCCCACGGGCTCCGTTAGTGGCAAAGGAGATGGCTAAAGCTAGGCTAAATGCTAAATGTTAGCAACTCGGGTGCATTACATACGTCACGGCAAACTCAGATCCAATCGTTTCAATCTGCAAAAGGAGTTAACCCTTTCCTCCTGTTAATGGAGCTCAATGGAGCAAATCCAGACCGTAGTACGAAATGAAATGTGTACAATGCTGTGGTAAGACCAGGCTAGTTCAGATCCATATCGACGTCATAACTATAAGAAAGTAGCACATTTTGGTGAATCGTGCATGAATAATGTCCCTGAAAGTCCCTGTGCTCCTGTTTCCGCTGCAGGAGAGGTTCCCGGTGCTGCACAAGTGGAGCCGCTCTGTGCAGAACGTGGCTCTGTCCGGCCTCAAGTCCAGACCTCGCTGTGGGGTCCCGGACTCCCCACCCCTGCAGGAGAGCGCGAGGGGCCCCAGGGGACACAGGCACCGGCGGTTTGTGCTCTACGGGGGCCGGCTGGACAAGACACATCTCACTTACAGGTGCTTTCTGTTCGGGCTGAGGGGACATTCACACAGAGACATTGTCACCAAATAACACCAACACCCAAATAAAAACTGAATCTGTGAAGAGATGAGGAGAAATCCAAGGCACTCTTGACATTAAAATAAAAATTCAGGGCATGTGTTAAGACTACAGACAACCAGGTGTGGTGTAAATGTAATCAGCACCTGTCACGTGATCTACACACAAATACTAAATAATAATAATAATTTTAATAACAAAGTGTATTATTCACAAAGATTAAAAAAAGATAGGTATCCTTTTGTCTATAAATACAAATTCAGATTGAGAAGACTGATTTGAACATGCGTTATAAATGTGAGTTGGACAGTTGTGTGGTTGCAGAGGGAAAGAGCAGAGAGAAGATGAAAGAGAAAACATGAGAGAGAAATGTTCAAAACGAGGTGTGAGGGTCAAATGTCCACAGCTAATCTGCAGATGTGGTTGGACAAATATCGCTCAGGGATGAAGCAGCGACACCGGCTCCTGCCCCTCACCGTCTGCTCATATTAAAGCTCTCCTGGCCCCTCTGAGTCTGGGGCTCCTGGGGGCCCATTGTCCCCCGAGCCTTTAAACTTGATTAAACTTTATTAACACAGCCAAACAGGCGCTCTGCAACGACTGGAGCCATGGTCATAACAGGCTGAGCCTAAAGAGGCCAGACTGGAGTTTGTCCTGAAGAGGCCACCATAGACTGTATATACACATATATACACATATATACACAGGCACAAGTCTTCATTCTCAGAACTTACTCACTCGTTGTAACTTCCTCTTCCTCAACCGCTGGTAGATCACCCTTTGCATCACTATGTCTACTTTAAGCTTTGAACTGAAACCTAACTCGTTTTATCATCAAACTGAACCTCAACTTTTGGTAAACGCCAATAATAACAAAAATAATGTTTTGTGTTATTACTGCTCTTACATCTTTGAAAATACAAAAAAGAAAAAAACACATTGTTTTCTTCAAAGAGTGGCGGCACGGTGGCTGAGTGGTTTGCACTCTCACTTCTCAAGAAGGAGGCACTAGGTTTGAATCCTGGTCGGAACAGAGCCTTTCTGACTGGAGTTTGCATTTGCCCCCGGGTTTGTGTAGGTTTCCTCCGGTGCTCCGGTTTCCCCTACCACTATAGGTATGAATGAGTGAATAGATGGTGTTGGTCGGAGGTTTCAAGCTTTCTAAAATTAAGTGTGTTCTGCGTCTCGCTTCCATCATCATCGTGTCGAGAAAATGGAACAATATCTGAACTTTGTAAAGTTTGCTTACTTTTATTTTTCAGAATTGTGCGTTTCCCGTGGCAACTGCGTGAAGAGAAAGTGCGGCGTGTTTTTAAAGAAGCTCTAAAGATCTGGAGCGACGTGACGCCTCTGAGCTTCACTGAGATCCACAGCGGGAAAGCAGACATACGCATCGACTTCACCAGGTCACACACTCTCACTGCTTTAAAGATCTTATGACGGGTTTGATTTATTTAGAAATACAGTTTTAATACCATTTTATATTAGAAGAGAACTACTAAAGGTTTCAAAATCAGTTGTTGTTTTTTTTGTCTGATCCCCCCCAAATCGAAATAACCCCATAGCAACGCCCTTAGAAACGAAAAAACTTCACAGCCCTTGGTGACGTCAGAACGGGTACGTTTCAATGCTGTAAGTTGTTTACAATTTGGTATTCGTTCTTTTTTTGCGGATATTCAAGATGACAAAGCCGTGTACAGCGAGTCTAAGATAACTACTAGAATGTATCATTTCGTTGTCACTGAGATAGTTCAGTGGTTGTGTCGTTGGACTGCCAATCCAGATATTTAGGTTCAAATCCCGCCCCGGACACTTTTTCACACTCAAAGCGGCAATTTATGTGTAGTGAGCAATTGTCACCTGTAGAGTGCAGTATTGTGTTGGGCCTCAGTGGAGAGAAGAGAGAAAAGGCAGTCCTGTGGCATAGATCCATGGTTTTCAATGCATGAGCGTTACCCGCTATGACGTCACACACAGGTTAGAGCATAGACAACTTAAATTCATGAAAAACACATTCTTTTTATAAAATATAGGATTTTTTTTGCCGGAATCTATTTCAAATTGATATTGTCATGCAATTTTGATATCCACTATTTGTTTTAAAAAAAACCCGTCATAAGGTCTTTATGTAAATAATCCAGTTAGTTTGTCTCGACAGAAAACATGGAAATTATGTGTGCAACAAGTATCTGATCACATCCAAAGTGAAATGAAAGTCTGAAGATCAGGCTAGACCAGGTCACCACTGTAAATTAAAATGAGACCTCGTTAGATAGTTACCTGTAGGTTAAGTTATAGTTTCATCATGTTTTGAGAGCGAGGAACTATTAGATGGATTTTATAATTGTTTTTCATTTGTGGTTTGAAGGTCAGGTAACCCAGCTTGAAAAAAGTTTTTCCCTTCTCATTTATTGTATGAGTGTATTTGAGTAATCCTCCTCAACCTGACCTCACATGTAGTGCATCTGTGCATTAACTTGAATTGCAACTAAAAACTTAGAACTATAGATATTTAGAAATTTAGTATAGAGTTATTGTTCATTTATCTTGTGTTGTGTGCTCCTAATTCCTACTGTTCTCTAACTGGTGATGCAACACTGAAATTCCCCCACTATGGGACGAATAAAGGGTCTCTTCATCCTCGCTCGGCAGGTACTGGCACGGGGACAACCTGCCGTTCGATGGACCTGGAGGAATCCTGGCCCACGCCTTCTTCCCCAAAACTCACCGTCAGGGAGACATCCACTTCGACTACGACGAGACCTGGACCCTGGGAAACCACATGGGTACAAAATACACAAAACAGCAGCGCGTTTAGTCCGAACGAGAAATGACTGAACAACGTGAACAACTTTTAATTAGTGAAAATAGCAAGAAATAAGAATAAGTAAGATATTAGTAAGTAAGTTATCTTTATTTAAATATTTATTCTGATGTTTTTTCACTTGTCACTTTACTTTTGATTATTGTTATTATTATTATTACTACATTATTACTTTTCCTTTCATCTGATATTTCTGTCATTAACTATTATTACTACTATTGTTTGTTCTAGTCATATTCTCTGCTGCTGCTAGCGTACAAAATACACATCTGTAAATACCTCCGAACCAAGTGCAATCATAGCATCAGAATTTCTATTTTATTATCATTACTTATTAGTTTATTATTTTAATTTCATTGTTTATTATCTTCTTATCTTATATAGTGCCTTTCACAGACCCGAGCCACAAAGCGCTTTACAAATGTCCTCTCACTTCACACAGAGATGGAAGCTGGGTCGCCGTACAGGAGGCTATCGTGCGTGTTTTTAGTGGTAGGGGAAACCGGAGCACACGGAGGAAACCTAAGCAGACACAGAAACATGCAAACTCCACAGAGAAAGGCCTGGAGGTGGAATCGAACCCATGACCTTCTTGCTGTGATGCACAAGCGCCATAGTGTATATTGAGGAATACAACCTTTTGACATATTTTGAAAAAAAATTTAAAATATGTCATTCAGTCAACAGTAGTTATCTCGGAGAACTTTACAAAGCAGATGACCAATGTCCATAAATGTTGTTGAATGTAGAGTGTCCTGGATTATAAGATAGGATAAACTTTATTGATTTGACAATGGAGAAAGGTACATCTAACTTTTGTCATAAATAGTATCTCTCAGGGTGTTAAAAAGGTCCTTAGACTTCCCTCAGCAAAGTGTCTCCATGTGCAGCTTGACTGACAATCTGTGTTTTTAGACTCAGCCTGTTAGTTTTGATAGTAATGATGCAAATATAAGCAGCTATTCCAGTATGACAAAGGTTTGGACGCTCCTCCCTCTAGGCACAGACCTCCTGCAGGTGGCGGCTCACGAGTTCGGTCACGTCCTGGGGCTGCAGCACTCGCCGGAGCCTGGAGCCATCATGTCGGCGTACTACTCCTTCTCGTCTCCACCGCGGCTCAGCGACGACGACCGCAGGGGAATCCAGTACCTGTACGGAGCCAGGCCACGCCCCCAGCCCCCGCCCAAGCCACGGACACCCCCCCCAACTGTACCCGCGCCTCCACCAGAGACCAACGAGATCCTGGCGCCGGTGAGTACGACGCAGTGTGTGGAGATTATGTGGAGAGGTCTATTATTCCCTGGTTAAAGCTGGGGTACCTAAGTCATGTAGTCATGTAAGGGCTCTAAAACTGAATGTTTCTATCACTAGTATTCATATGCCTGTGGTTGTGGCCTCTGTCACAACTCTAAGAGCTAGTGATGCTGATAAAACACACACACAAACACACAAACACCCACAAAACACACAAAATCACTCACCATTCATTAGAAAGATACAGAAACCTTCTCTTTTGGTATATGAGAAATACAGGAGCAAATATGTTGTTCTTTTCATTATACATATAGAATCTTGGATACACTTTTGAGCCATTAATTCACTTTTCATAGTTTCATAGTCCAATTTTGATTTTGGATTAAATATATATATACTTTTTTTGAGTTAAAATATCAGGGTGATTTAAAACACATCCCTCTCTGTTTCATCCAGTCACAATCTGACTCGTGTCACAGTCCCCTTGGGAACTCAGGGACCGTGGATCAAACCTGATTTTAGAGTTGAGCGGCGTTCATTCCCATGTTGAGTGGGAAGTCGGAACTTCCTATCTCCGAGATCGCATGAAAGCGGCATCAGTTCTATAATATTATAGTGCCGCCCAGAGCAGGTTTCTGCCTTTTGAAGCAAAATTATTGAGTACATGTCTGTGTCGAAAAACTCTCAACGCATTCTCCTCCTCCCTCTGGTGGCAGCAGGAGCAGAGGGCATTACTTTTTCTCCATATATTTTTGACTTGAGATATTATTCCACATTCTATAACATGAAACAACAGATTTAATTATCTCATTTTATTTTTAATGGCCAAATAAAATGTCTATATACTATTTATTCTTTAAAGAAATAGGAAGGACGCCCATTCAGTTAGAAATATCTCTTTCTCTAATCCTCATCCTAAGTATTTAATCTCCCATGGCACAAACTCACTACATGCCAAACCCCAGTGTTAACGATACTCTATATTTAGTTAAAAGTGTAAAAGTGAGACCCATGTCGTCTAAGTCTCTGCTGACACATGTCTTTGATCGACTCATTTCCGTGTCTGCGTCTGTGGAGCTGTGGTCAGATCAGAGCCGCGTTTACATTCGTCAAACTCAAACTGACCACTTCAAAACCTGGGAATCGAACCCCCACGCTCAGTGAAACACCAGCCTGCACTATCAAAGCCTGAACCGACACCTCGTCCATCTGCAGAAACAATCAGATCTGGTTTGAAGGAATCAATAGATATTTGTTTTTGATGTGGTCTGTGAGGTATAGGCCAATGTGGTCTGAAAGCGCTAATGGTAAGAAAATGAAAGGATCAAAGCTACCGTCTCCAGGGCAGTTATCGATCAAAAAGACCTACAAAAAAGAAGTTACTAAATAATAAAATAACCAAATCTCTCAATGGTTACATGTATCTGAACCATAGACCGTATATCAGGAGTGGACTGACCGAGCGTGTCATTCTGTTAGCCTTAATGTAGAAGAAGTTGATTTGAACAAAAGCTAGCTGGAGCCAATTTCCTTATATGGGCATTTCTACCATGCCGTTAGCTTTGCGCCATAACAAAAGAAGACATGTCGCTAAGACGGTTACTAAGGCAAGCTGGAGTTTCCCTCGTGAATAAAAGCATCTGATTTCACTGCTGACAAAGATGTTGTGGCTCTACTCCCCACGGGCTCCATTAGTGCCAAAACAGATGGCTAAAGCTAGGCTAACTGCTAAATGCTAAATGCCTCACTCACTCGGGCGCATTACATACATCACGGTAAACTCAGATCCAAGCGTTTCAATCTGCAAAAGAAGACCTGGGTAGACCTAAGACCTAAGTATGAAATGAAATGAGTACAATGGTACGGTAAAGTACATCTTTCTGTTTTGGAGTTGTTTCTCTTGTGTCTGGTTGGGGATCCTCCAGGCGCTCCCGTTTCTCATCATTCAAAACATGCACCATATGTAAAATCCTCCAGCAAAGATTCTGACCGAGAGAATCCACATCTGGAGAAGGTGAAGACAGGACACTGCACTGAATGAATTAAATACAGAGGATAGTTTTCACTGCAGGGACAAAAGTTTTGCCATAATAAGCTGTTTGAAAGATGGAAAAAAAAGACTAAATAAAACCAAAAAATCCAGCATAAGTAACAATATTTATTCTTTTATTTGATGGAAACCACATTAATGAACATCTGTAAAACTCCGGGACATTTAAGGACATCTAAGGACATTGGTCATCTGCCCCCTTTTGGACCAATGACTCCTGTGTGTTTCTTATTATTGCATTTCCTGTGTTAGAATTGTTTGATTCCCAGATCTTTTGTTGAGGAATTGATCATTTTTTACAGTCCTGAGACAATTGCTGTTGGGATTTAGGGCTATACAAAAAGTTGAATTGAAAATACATTCGTAAACAGAGAGAAAATATGACAGATTATAGCAACAATTCTAGTTTCCATCTGTTGTCCCAAAGCAGGAGACATAAAAACGAACAAACACTTTTACGTTAAGTTTAAAGAGTTCACAGACTCTGCCTTTTTCTGGAAATGACGTAGAAATATAAAAATAAATAACATTTGGCCACATGTTGGGGTTTTTGAACGACAACTACTCCCTTCATTCGTTGCTAGTGGTTGCCCAAAGCCATTGATTTTCAAATACTTCCCCTTTAACATCTATGACAGCTGTGAGTCTGATGGGAAAGCTGAACGTTCTTCTTGGCACAAAGCCTCCGGTTCCTGTAAATAGTTTCACACAACCACTGATGTATTGTGGGGGAAAAGTGTTTGTGATATCGTTCATAATCTACAAAATATGGCCAAAACAACGACCAGATGTCCAGGAGCGTGTCTATCCAACTGTCTTTGTGAAATGTATGCTGCTGCCCTCTGCTGCTTCAATCATTTGGACACTTCACATTTAGAGAGACTAAAAACATGTACAATAGTTCTGGCATGCCCCTCCTGTACCGGCGACCCCGCTCCCATCTCTGAGTGGAGTGAGAGACAAATGCCCACAATTGTTATTATTGCAACTGTAGTATGTATATATCCTCAGTGAGTGTAGTGCTTGTTCCTGGTCAGTGTGTGTAAATTCCCTCTCCCTTCTGCCCTCAGCCGGATGTGTGTCAGACGGACTTTGATGCGGTGGCGCTGATCCGCGGGGAGCTGTTCTTCTTCCGCTCGGGCTTCGTGTGGAGGATCCGTAACGGACGCCTGGAGAACGGTTACCCCGCTCTGGCATCGCGTCACTGGAGAGGGATCCCCCACCACATCGACGCAGCCTTTGAGGACAAGTCAGGCAACATATGGTTCTTCCAAGGTGCGGATAGAAGCAGTGTTTCGGTACTACAACTGAAAGTATATAACAGTTGGTAGTAGTCTATAGTCTGCCACGCTGAGGCCTAATTAAAAAAATACATAAAAGCACAATTGACCAGCCTAATTATGAACGCTCCAACTCGCGCAAATGCAAATTCCTGATTGCAAATCAAGTCGTTTTAAAACATATTCTGTATAAACAAATTATAGAGCAGACCCCAGTAAATCAGGATGCTAAATCATGTCAAAGTAATCACATAAGAAATGTTAATGATCTTGTAATTGCTGCTTAAAAATCACCATAACAGGAGCTCAGTCCTGTCTAGACGTTCTCCTGGACCAATCAGGGATTTATGACTGTAGTAGTAATAACACGTGTTGTGATAGTTTTTGTGGTCCTTGCATGTGAAAGCCTGATTTTGTCATACCTCTCAAGCAGAGGGGCCGATGGCACAAACTGGTGGCATCACTTCCATCAGTCTGCCCCAGGGCAGCGGTGGCTACAGTCATGGTTTATCAGTTACCACTGAGTGAATGAACTCAGTAGTAACAGTAGTAGTAGCAGTAGTAACAGATAGTAGTAGCAGTACTAGTAGCAGTAGTAGCAGTAGTAACAGTAGTCGTAGCAGTAGTAGCAGTAGTAGTAGTAGTAGCAGTAGTCACGGTAGTAGTAGCAGTAGTAGCAGTAGTAGCAGTAGTAGCAGTAGTAGTAGCAGTAGTAACGGTAGTAGTAGCAGTAGTAGCAGTAGTAGCAGTAGTAGTAGCAGTAGTAGCAGTAGTAGCAGTAGTAGTAGCAGTAGTAACGGTAGTAGTAGCAGTAGTAGTAGCAATAGTAGCAGTAGTAGCAGTAGTAGTAGCAGTAGTAACGGTAGTAGTAGCAGTAGTAGCAGTAGTAGTAGCAGTAGTAACAGTAGTAGTTGTTGTAGTAACAGTAGTAGTTGTTGTAGTAACAGTAGTAGTTGTAGTAGTAGCAGTAGTAACAGTAGTATGTGTCCTCTCTGGCAGGCTCTCGGTACTGGGTCTTTGATGCGGAGATGCAGCAGCGGGGCCCGGAGCCCCTCTCCTCGCTCGGGCTCCCGGTCCCTGAGGTCCAGGCCTCTCTTCGCTGGGGACATGACCCCAGCTACAACACCCTGCTGTTCAGAGGAGACCAGGTCTGGAGGTTCAGTCCCAAAGAGGGCCGTGTGGAGCCAGGACCCCCCAGGAGCCTCAGTGCCTGGAAGGGGGTCCCACCAGACATCCACGCCGCCTTCAGGGACATCTACGGTGCGTATGTCAGGACCATCTGTGTTGCATATAGACTAGACAAGCCTACACAGTATGTTTGCAGTACATTTGGCTGCTACGACAAAGTCACTAGAGTCAATCCAGTGTCTGTCTGATCGCTTTGTGCGGAAGGCTTAGTTGGTCCAGTTGTGTTGCATGAACCATTTAGACAGAACAAGTGGAGAGGGATCTAAAATAACTCCAGGTCTATTTTTAGTGTTTTATATGTTTATGAAGTTTTATATTTTACAAAGGTACACATGGAAAAAGTACAAAAAGACAAAATATTAGCAGATAGATAGAATCTTGTCTTTCCTGAGAGTGCAGAAGACGTCCAATAACGGAGACCGTGGATACAATCGATTGAATACAAGGCTTTTGATGATGTATATCCTTCCATTACAAGCAAGGGTGACTTTAAGGAAGGCATAAGTCTGAGAAGTACAAACACCCGGAGTTAAAAGAACACGAGCGTGAGGAAGTCTCCAACTCCACATGTATTTTTGATGAGGAGACATGCTGTAATATGGTCAAGAACTCAAAAAATAAATGCTATATGTCTATACATTTAGCGTGCCTCTGATTGGTCAAACAGAAGTTGTCACACATTCACATTTGTTTATTGCAGGTTATGCTCACTTCATTCGGGGGAGACAGTACTGGAAGTTTGACCCTGTGGGCATGAACTCTGTGGACGGGTTCTCTGAGGGGCACTCCCTGGAGGGGTACCCGCGCTACGTCGGCGTCGACTTCTTCGGCTGCAGAATCTGAGCCACTCTCTGACATTCTGTTCGCTCTGAGCTCAGACTTGAAGCCTGGTGTCCACTGTGTGACTGAGATGAAACATTACTGATCGTGAAGGGTCGAACTGAAAGGAGATTTCAGACAACTGGGGATTATCCAATACCAATGTTTTTTTTATCTGATCCGATACTGTGTGCTCTTGGTGGATCTGATACTGAGACCAGTCCAATGCCATATACTGTCATTATAATTATTTCAGAATCCGTTTAAAGCTAGGGTTCCTTACTTTCAAACCACACAAAAATACAAATATGTAATTAGAAGGTAGTTCTTTGTTTGTACATTTCAGTTCGATGAAAACACATATCACATAAAGGCATGCAACGTACAATTACTTCCGTTCTCCATATGGGCAAAGTGGGGTAAAGTGTCTTACCCAAGGACACAACAACAGCAGACTTGGGAGCAGGAGTTGGTAGATAAACTGTCGAGAAACTATGTTTGAACTTATGAAACCGCGATAAACAGATAAAGATAAGATAAAAATTCCTTTATTCGTCCCACAGTGGGGAAATTTCGAAAACAGTGTGATCCACTTTTACTCACCCCAGCGCGCCGCTCTGACAAATTTGAGAAAAATATGTCAAAAATCTGCAATTTTGTGGGAAAAAATATATATATAGTAATGAAACAAGGCGAAGTTACATTGAAATAATAAAATAGCACAAAGCATGTGGTAAATAGTAACCAAGTAGTATTGTTTCCATCTTTTTTTCTTTTTTCCTCCCCTGACCCCACGTCACTAGTTCAAACAAACCAAAGGACTCTTTTCCGTCTCAGGCAAACTGATGCAGGAGAGTCCTGGTTCCAATCCCTCCAGGGCCTGTGTAAGCTTCATATCAGCCTGGAGGATTCGACCAAAGACTTATGTTATGTCAGGTCTGTGTTGTTCCATAATAAAGCTAGACCTCCAATGCCCAGATGCACTGAAAGCTGAAAAGACACAGGATGGTGTGACGTGCCTCTGATCAGCTGTTGTTACCGTCAGTCTGACCCCCACCCCCACCCCCCGCGCTGTTGTCTCTGGAGAAGCGAGTCCCATGTGAGCCTGGGTCTAGTCCCTCTCTTCTCTGTTGACGGTTTGTTTGGCCTGATTTCAGTCACCGCTCGTATCCATCGTTTGTGTTCATGGTCTTCCGTTCCTACTCTTACAGTTACAGTTAGTTTGGTTCTATCTAAGTTTTTAAGACAGAAAAGTGAAAAGGAAAGGATCACCCTAACAGCCAAACATCTCTCAGCCCAAAGAGTCAAACGGTGACACCCAGGGCTAAAACCATATCAAAAGATTCTAAGATGAAGGCAGTATGTTTTCGTCTGATGTGTTCTCAACATTTCACTTTTACAAAACTCTTCATATTGGAACAAACAAAAGTATTATTTATGAAACGAAGAGTTAAGTACCCCGTCTTTAAGAGGAAGGCTCTTTGCTGTGAGTCCAGGAGACACCAGGCTTTATATGTTTTTCATACTAAACTTGAAACAGTATTTTGCAGTTTCATTTACAGCGTTTTAAAAACATGTTTTATTTTTACATTTTTGGATTCTAATCTCAGGAACGAGGAACTCAGACTGCAGTTTATTTATTTTGCACAATTTGCATGATATTTTTTGTGCTAAAAAACCATGTATCAAGGACCAAAGCAGGACTAAAACAGGACTAAAGCAGGACTAAAACAGGACTAAAACAGGACTAAAGCAGGACTAAAGGAGGACTAAAACAGGACTAAAGCAGGACTAAAGCAAGACTAAAACAGGACTTAAACAGGACCAAAGAAGGACTAAAGCAGGACTAAAACAGGACTAAAGCAGGACTAGAACAGGACTAAAGCAGGAATAAAACAGGACTGAAGCAGGACTAAAGCAGGACTAAAGCAGGACTAAAACAGGACCAAAGCAGGACTAAAACAGGACCGAAGCAGGACTAAAGCAGGACCAAAGCAGGACTAAGACAGGACTAAAACAGGGCTAAAACAGGATTAAAACAGGACCAAAGCAGGACTAAACAGGACCAAAGCAGGAACAAAAAAGGACCAAAGCAGAACTAAAACAGGACTACAACAGGACTAAAGAAAGACCAAAGCAGGACTAAACAAGGACCAAAGCAGGTCTAAAGCAGGCCCAAAGCAGGACCAAAGGAGGGCTAAACCAGGTGTTTTGACCCTGATCATTTTAATATTGTGATATGTTTTTGTCTCTTTGAATGAGATGGTGCTGTGCTCGCCATCTCTGTCTGTGTTGTACATATTTTCATTATGAACTTTTTCTTTTAATAAATTTGTATCGTTTGATTGATTTCTCCCTTTATCCATAATGAAGCAACGCTGATGTATGTAGTCATTAGTTTATAGCTTTCTCATTGCTGTGAATAAGAATACAAAATTACAGTTATTCTTTAGTTTGTCCATAAGCTTCAGTCTGCCGCTCCAGCCCCAGTGAACATCCAGGGAAGGGACTCTCACACTGGAATAAATCCCTTGTAAAAAATATATATACGAAAACACGTAAAATACTGCTTTAAATAAGAAAAAATTATCTGCCAATTGAATAAGAAAATAAGACTCGACTGAGGAGGCAGTGAGTGTCCTTATCCAGGAGTGGACCATATCAGGGCCAGGGTCATGCACCACACACCGCAGTTAATGGACTATTTCAATCAAAACATAAAAAACTCCACAAAAAATAAAAATAAATAACTTTATTTTTTTGTGTATATATATTTCAAACTCACAGTTTAAGGCATTGTAAGATGGAAGACAGACTTCTGGAACAGAAACAGAAGTGTAGGAATAACAACGAGCCTGTCCACGGTTTTCCCATCTTAGAATTGTCAAAAAGTATTTAACAGTAACAGGCAAACAAAGTTGTCGAACTTCTTGCTTAAAATGGTTGAACTGGTTTATTATTTTCTAGTGGTTTGTCTTTAGTTCTAGCATTAACTATAACTATAAATGTGCTTTAAAAAATCAATGTCTCTCAACTATAAATAAAAACTCAATGCCATGGAAACAGGCTTTAAGAATGAAACAAAACTTTGTAACACTGGAGGCATATACATCCTACAGTAATCATAATTCAATTCATATTTTTAAAAAACGTATTTGTCTTCAACAAAAAGACACTGTATCATAGACTCAGTATCATATAAATGTTATATTATTATTATTGATTGATCTTAAACAACAGAATTACATTAAAGTGCTCAAAATAAAACTGTAAGGTCTTCATTCTCTCTCAAATACTCTCATGTTTTAACTTTATACTAGTGTCACAATGGTAAATGTGGTTCCATCTCAGACGCAGGGACCATGAAGGTGGATGTGCTGCAGTGTCCAGCAGGGGGCAGCAGCTCCTCTTCATTCCGTGTGTAGTTTCTGATATTTCAGGTTCAGGCCTCATCCAGCAGCCTCTGGAGGTTCCTCTGCACCTGAGACAAAAGACACCATCATACACCAGTTTGCCCAGAACATTACCTAAGTAGTAATTCATCTTTATTTATATAGCGCCTTTCGCAGACAGAGCCACAAAGTTAAAATTGCTTTGGACATTTTCCCTCTCACTCCACACATGGGAACAGGGTCGTCATAAAGGAGCAGCAAACCAGACCTATTGTACATGTTTCCAGTGGAAGAGACAGCTATACAAACACAGGAAGAACATGCAAACTCTACACAGAAGGCCCATCTGGAGGAAGATTCAAACCTTGCTGTGAAGCTTTTGTGCTAACCACTGCGCCACTGTGCTGGAGCTACTACTACTAGAGCTAGTCCTTATAAGACCTAGCCTCTCTGCCATATGATGTAGAAAGATATATTGAAGTCCGGCATCGTTTTGAAAAGTCTTATTCCGATTCTAGACCGTAGAAGAAGTGGGTAAACTGAATGCCACAGGGTTTGGTTGTCGATTAGAGCTAGCTCAAACAGGCTCTGGCAATCAAATTCTCAGATAGCAACTACCTAGCAACCAAATATAAACATCAGCAGTGATAATTGGTCACTGCTTGGTCTGTAAAAGGCTGGTTCTTTAGTCTGATATTTGGTGTGACATGAACACATACAGAGCCAGAGGAGGTTACTTGGTGCTGAAGCGAGTATAGGAACACTTTCTTATCCTATCAGCTCTGTCCATTCCTTTATAGACTGTCTATGACCACACTACTGTATGTCCAAGTCTGTACGAGACTGAAGCAGGACTGAAGCAGGACTGAACCAGGTCTGAACCAGGTCTGAACCAGGACTGAACCAGGACTGACCTTCTCCAGTTTGAGGAGGTTGATGGTGATGAGTTCAGAGAAAAGGTCAGAGTTACGATCGGAGACTCTGAGGACGTCCCTGAAACAGACAGATCCAGATCAGAGGCCCAGATTGTCACCCACTCACCCCTCACACACTCACACGCCCCCCCCCACACCCACCCTCACCCACTCACCCCTGATCCGTGAAGTCCGCCATCGGTCCGAGAGCCGAGAGTTTCTGCTCCAGGGACACGATCTTGAAGGCGAGGTAACAGGAGGACAGCAGCAGCAAACACACACTGACAACACACACACACACACACACACACACACACAAGTTTAAAGAACATTTCCTTGACCTGTCCACTATACAATGACAGCTGTAGCCGACACACAGACGCACACACACATGCGCCCACATAGACACACACAGAGAACACACATAAACAGGTAACACACACAGGTAACAACACACACTCATTTTCACACACACATACGCGCACAGACACACACAGGGAACACACACTCACATATGCGCACACACAGACACACAAGGTAACACACACACAGGTAACACACACACATATATGTGCACAGACACACAAAGGGAACACACATATGCACACAAAAACAGGTAACACACACACACACACACACAGAGGTAACACACAGACAAACAGGTAATACACATGATTGTGTGTTGTACTGACAGTGTGAGGTAGACACAGAGCAGAGCGCTGAGGGACACGGTCTTCAGGCTCCTGCCGTCCACCACCGGACCAGCAGCTGCACCAGACACAAGGAAAGTTTATTTGTATCGCACAATTCATACACAAGGCCATTAATACACAGTAACAACGTGTTCCATCACAACGACGACACTCAGATCTATGTCTCAAATTCTTTGGTTCCCAGAAGCAACAAGAGTCACCAAGATAAATACTATCACACAGGCATCACAGTCCTGGTCCAGTCCTGGGCAAGGTCTGGTCAAGTCCCAATTTAATCTTGGTCCAGTCCTCCTTGAATTCTGGTCCAGTCCTGGGCAAGTCCTCCATCAGTCCTGGTCTGGTTCAGTCCTGGTCCTCACCTCTGTGTTTGTTGGTGATCTCTGAGAGGTTCTGTGGAGCCTCAGGAGGTTCACACACTTTTGGAGACTCCGAGTCCTCAGGACGAGTCAACAGGAACTCAGGAACTGGGAACTCTGAGAGAGAGTGAAATGTTCTTCATATTATGGGATTAGAAACACCAGTCACTCAAACCCTCTCTAAATGAATGCATGAACGCCCCCTATCGTTTAAAAAGGAACATCAGCTTTCATAACAACTAGAGCATATTAAAAATAATGTTTATGTAATGATTTTAATTGTATCTCTTTAACAGTCGAATATAGAGCATTTACTGTATTTGCCATTTGCAGTAAAACCACATTGGAAAAACTGTGCAAGACTACCCCAGTGTGCACCCGAGTACACACCAGCCTCCTGCCAGATTAGGAATAGGAGGATTAACACAAGCATAACTGTCAATAGGTTGTGTTCATATTCTAGAATTCTATTTCAGTTTTAGGCCAGATGCTAAAACAAGTCCATGGGAAACAAGAACATTTGGAGAAGAGAATATATTTTCCCAGATCATCACTTGATGATATTGGTTAGACAGACACCCTGTCACATTATTCTCATGTCTCAAAGTCTTATGTTTTGTAGATACATTTACACACACACACACACACACACACACCCAAGTTTGTACCATTGATTTTCTCATAGTCCGCCGTCTGGGAGTCGGAGCTGCTGCTCTCCTCCAGCTCCTGCCTCCTCTGTTCAACAACAAAGTCTCCGGGAAAAGACTGAAACATCACAAGAAATAATAATATAATAAAATAACAGCAAAAAGTCTCAAAAGAAAAGATGTTAAGAACAGAATACGCAGGTTTGACCTTGTTTCAGGAAACACAGTTTTTAAATCTTTTCAAATACAAACATAATGAAACATTACACTGCAGTCTTTCAGTAAAATAGTAGTGTTATAGTGTATTTCTTCTGCCATTATATACATTAGATCTCAGGTCACGTTCATGTTTTCAAAGTGCGTGTACATTTTACAAAAAGTGCTAAATAATGCCTTCTAAAAGGGGTTTTGGCTGAAGTAGAGACTTATCTTGTCTAACCCCTTTTACAACTGTGACAATACGTCCAAATATGACACATTTTACATTATACATACACCAGAGATGGCAACATGGAGCACAATGGAATGAAAGTGTAAAATTAGAAATGTGTTCAAAAGGTTGAGTTCAAGCAGTCCAGACACTTTCACAAATACATTCATTCTTTGTGTCTTATTGAGGTGATCAATTTAAGCAATGATGAACCTTTGACATGATGTGAACTGACCAGAGGGAAGCGTGGAGACTGTGGCGACCGCGGTGACCTTTGACTTCTGAAGCTGCTGTCCACCAAGGACGGGATGGGACTGCTGCACGGACTCTTCTCCTGAGCAGAAAAACAAGATTAAAAACAGTGAGAGAACAGAAGCAGGATATTCTTATTCATGGGAGTGGTGTTTCAGATTTAGACGCTGATGCCCTTCTCCTCAGTCTAACTATATCCAAAAGTGTAGTTTTGTATTTGAATCATTCCAGTCAAATATAATGTATTACATTTTTTATATAACTCAAGAAAATTCACTGCTAACGTGTTCTAATCTTGAAATTGTTTGCGTAAGTATTAGTGGTATTATTGAATTCACTTATTAGCATAACAAAAGAAAGAACCAAATATCTAGCTTTAGCATGATAAGGAATAATATCTACAACTTTTATTATAATGAAGAAGCAAAAAATAAGTATAAAATCTCTGACTAAAGCATAATGAGAAGTAAGTATAAAGTCTCTATCTAAGAAAAACCGGCAGACATCTCAGATACTGATTAACTTGGAGATACAGTTTTAGGTATCTCCAAGTCGATCAGTATCTGAGATGTTTGCCGGTCCGAGAGCTGCAGCTGTTGTGGTGCTGCTCACCTCCAGATGCAGACACATGGACATCAGGAACTTGTAGGTGTTGTCTCTGGACAGAAACGACACAAAGACATACTGCAAGAAACAGAAGCAGAGACAGATTCAGATTCAGACGTTATTTCTCCTAAACATAAGGCATAGAAAAAAACAGACTTTCATTAATAATATGGCTCTGGGACATGGTAGAACAATTCAATTCAATGTATTTTTATATTGCCCTAAATCACAACAGTAGCAATCTCGGAGCACTTTACACAGTTGTCGATTCGCTATCACAGATCAGAGAATCAAACCGTTCAAACACAAGAAATGCCATAACAACCAATACACATGAGCCATTGGTCTGTAAAAGGGTGGTTTATAAAGAGCATGCATGGATATTCTGATCTAGTGAGCACTATCCTCTCCTCCTTCCTACTTTACCTGTTTAGCATTATAAGGATTATGACTGTAGTTTTCATTGCTATTCACCCATTGTCCCATTGTCTGTTTCATGGTACGACGACGGGACCTCTGAGCCTGGCCCTCTCCATCTACACCTGCGGACTGCCCTGCCCGACCCGCCTGGGAGTGCTTCAGTCCTGCACCGGACCTGTCCACGTTCAGCGTCCACTGGTCTAGGTTCTGTAGCTAGCTTAGGTCCTGGATCATTAGCCCTTTCTCAAACTGTAAAAAATAGTCTCCTCGAGGTTTCTCACTTTTTCCCACTGGGTTTTTTAAGAGTTTTTCCTTGCCGATGCAGGAGGGTCTGTTGGACAGTTAGTGTCCAACAGAAAGGATGTAGTGATGATCCAGGACACTTTAACATTCTACAACATGTATGACATTTATCAACATGTGTTCTATATTCTTTCTGTGTTTAACTGTTGATTCTCTGATCTGTGTTGGTGATTTCAATGGTTTTGTTAAGTCCTCTGAGATGACTTCTGTTGTGATTTAGGGCTATACAAGAATAAATTGTATTGTATTGTATTGTAGTGGTAGAAGTAAGAAATTGCATTCTGCCTTTAAAAGTAGATGCAGAGTTGTAAAGAAAGTCATTCGATCAGAGAAATTCCTAAAGTCTGCATACATTTCCCTCAGTCCATTCCTTGCCGATGCAGGAGGCTCAAAAGGACAGTGGTGATGATCCAGGACACTCCACATTTAACAACATTTATTTACATTTATCAACATTTATGGACCAATGGCTCTATGTGTTATTGTTAAATTTATTGTGTTTGAACTGTTTGATTCTCTGATCTGTGTTGGAAAATTCAATGTTTTTTTATAACTCCTCAGAGATAACCCTAACCTAAAATGTACTGTTTTTAAATGTTGCTGTTTTTATAATATTTTAGCAACTTATTCATTATGCACCTGTGACTGTGTGAATGAGAGCAGCCGGCACCACTGTCATTTCCTTTGGGATTAATTAAGTTTATCCTTATCCTCATAACTCCTGTTGTGATTTAGGGCTATACAAGCAGAAATTGAATTGAACTGAGGTGGCAGTCATGTTGTAGCGTGTCCAGGAGAGGATTCAGCACCAGGCGTGTGTTTAAAGAGACTTGTTGTGCGAGGTGTGGTTTGTTACCCGATCGTTGGCGGTGGCGATGACCAGAGCGTTGGGCAGAAGCAGAGCCGTCTTAGTTTTCTTTATGTTTGTGACCGACACCACAGGGATCGCGATCTGACACAAAACACACACAATCTACATGACGTCGTGAGAACAGGCCGTGAAATATCATCAGGGGCTTACGACATTGTTTCAAAGCGTTTACTGCAATAAATATGTAAGATTAAGAGATGCTTTATTTGTAGCACAGTGGGGAAATTTCAGTGTTGCATCACCAGTAAGAGAATAGTAAGAATGAGGAGCACACAACACGAGAATTAACAACTCTAAACAAATAACTCAATACTAAATACAAAATCTCTAACTTTAGCATAAAAAGGAAGCAAATCTAAAATCTCCAACTTTAGCAAAATGAAGGAGCAAGAACTAAGTGCAAAATCTTTAGAATAATAGTTTTTGATTTGTATTTTTTATCACATTTGGAACTTTTATTGTATCTATATTGTAAATCTTGTGTTTCAGTGGTTTGTATGTACCCCAACTGGTGCTGTGTCTGTAAATGATGTTTGTCAAGGATAAATAAAGTTATTTGAATTGAACTGTGTTGAAAGAAGCACCTGTATATACTGCATATTCTAGAGCAAATAATATAGACTAATTACACTGTAATTAGTTGCTCATATATGCACCGTACCAATCAAATAAATACTCTAAAAACCAGACCCAGAACAGGTCTAAACCAAGACTAAACCAGCTCTGTGGAACAGCATGTATACAGTTCAATTATTTAAGTGTGAATTAAGTCCAACACATCAGAGAGAAACAGGAGAAGTCCACATCACTGACACTGAGGGCCAGACCTCACGCTGGTCCGGGCTAGTCTGGATTGCTCTGGTTGGTCTGGCTCAAATAATGAAGTTTCTCTTAGTGTCAGTCTCACACGCTGCTAACAAATGATGGTTGAATTATTGGAGCTACATTTATTGTGGCCCCTCCTCTTGGTGTAGTTATTCTCCAGCAAATATTTCTCCAATCAGAAACTTTAGTGAGTTATCAGTTCATTATTTTTAGATTCATGTCGTGAATACCTTGAACACCGACTTTACCTTTCTCTAAAACATTCAGTCAATTTACTCCCTATTCCTTCTCAAACATAAACATGACGCTAAAGTTAGAAAATGATGTGTGAATAACAGAAAGAAAATCATCCATATTGTAATGGGTCTGAGAAGATGCAAAAAGTCCTTTTGGACATGGGACTATATGGAACTATATGGGACTATATGGAACTATATGGGACTATATGGCACTATATGGGACTATATGGGTCTCCAGTCGGTTGCTGGTTACAGTGATGGTGTTATGAACCTTTGTGTCTTTGCCGAAGACTTTAGAGTGGAAGCAGATCCAGTGCTCGGACACAAACATGCGGCCCTGGTACAATATGTCCTTCTGTAGAGCGCAGGTGTAGCCTAGACACACAACAAGTATTACACAATAAATACACAACAAATACACAGTCAAGATAAATGTAACCTTTATTGATCTGTGTAAGAATATTTTGACCTGCTCCCACTGACCCCACCCACACCTGCTTCAGCTGACCCCACCCACACCTGCTCCCACTGACCCCACCCACACTTGCTCCAGCTGACCCCACCCACACTTGCTCCAGCTGACCCCACCCACACTTGCTCCAGCTGACCCCACCCACACCTGCTCCCACTGACCCCACCCACACCTGCTTCAGCTGACCCCACCCACACTTGCTCCAGCTGACCCCACCCACACTTGCTCCAGCTGACCCCACCCACACCTGCTCCAGCTGACACCTCCCACAGAAGGATTTCTTTTGAGTTTTAGTAGGCCTATAGTAAATTCCCAAAATCACAGTACTAATAGTATATGTGTAGTATTTTCTTGTAGCTCACTCTGCTGCAGCTGCTCTTCTTTGCAGATCTCTTTGAATATTTTATGATACTGTCCGTTTGTCTTTGAGAGCTGAAACAACAAGACATTGTTGACACTGAGGAGCAAAACAGATTTATAAAATAGTAAAAAACATGGTTCAAATATCTCTGGATCTTTCTCAAGAGACGAATAAATTGAAAACATTATAATAATTCTCAAATAAAAGTTACAGACCACGCTCTCTACTAAACACTGATCTAAAGACCCTTGCTAAATTATTACTCCAACCTTTGATGATGTAATGGTGACCACAAAGGTTTTAAAAGTCAAAAAGTGCCTCTGATGTCGCCTGGCCTCCAGTCAATCTTCATTGAAATGTAATTTGTACTATGGTGTGGTACGACCAGGCTACCTCTGATAATATGAAGAGTACATATTATTCGGGGTACCCCAACAGTTGCATTTACTGGGGGTTGCCAGGCTAGAGTGACAGTATCTGTAGTATCAAATATTTTATGGGTGTACATTTCCTTTAAAAATGTTTTTATTCCTACCGGCAAGAAGTGTTGCTCACTCTATGCTACTGCCAGGCTCTAGACATGGATCTGCTCTCAGTCCTCTTCTGTTCGCTCTCTCTCTGAAACTTCTGGCTCAAGTTGTTCATTCCCGAATCGGATGTCTCTCTGTTTGTAAACTTAACAATATGACAGATTACATTTTCTTAAACCCCCTGTCACTCAATGTTAAACAGACTTTAAGATTAGTCTCACATTGGGTGGTGATCAGGGACAGTGTTTTAACTTTGACATTTATTTGAAAGGATTTATTTTTGTATGAGTATGAAATCATGACATTTGAAATCAGAAACAGGTTGAAAATTGACTTAAAAACTATGTGACATGATCTTGCGGTCCAGTTTTGGGCCCTGGTCCCCCATAGAGCAGAGTGAGGGGGTGGTACCTGACTGTAGTGGGACTTTTTCCTCTCAATCTTCGGTTCTGTGTCAGCGGGAACGTGTCGCAGAAGAGAGTGGTCAAATGTCTTGGACCTGGACACATCAACACTTTGATTATGTTGCTTATATTGTATTTTAAATGGCTTGTGGCTATGGAAAAAAAAAAACATTCTTGTATAGCCCTAAATCAAAGCAGTAGTTATCTCGGAGGACTTAACACAACTGTTGAATTCACCAATACAGATCAGAAAATCAAACGGTTCAACACAAGAAATGCAGCACATAGAGTCATTGGTCCATATTCAGTCATCTACTGGGACAATTAGTTTATCGTTCAAGAGTTCATTTATTAATGTAATTCAACTTAAATGTGAAGCCAATATATGATTTGTATACATTCAATACATTAAATTGCCATATGCTAACCCTTTGCTTGTTATTAAGTTGAGGATTTTGGCTCTCAGTCCCTTTTTAAAAATATTTTAGTTGTGTTTTATATGGATTTTTATTTGGGATAGTCAATTATCAATTATCAAACTTGATATATCTCTCTTTGCGTGTAAAGAGTCATATATTAGTTTCACATTCTAAGTTTCAATACAGAAGTAAGCTAAATTAACTTTTGAACAAAAAAAGAAAAAACATACACTGGAATATCCCATTTTTTTATATGAACTAAGTAGAAATTATGAACAAAAGAAAAGAAACAAACGGCTCACTTACAGCATTTTTTAATTATTACGGTTCTCTCCGTCAAAAACCATTAAAAAGAGGACTGGCTTCAGGATTGACTTCAAATGCTACAGTTAGCTAACAGTGGTTTTGCTTGGCGTTGTTATGGTAACCCGCACTACTCTTAAAACAAAGGAGAGGTGTTATAGAAGTAGTAGTTACATTACAAGGCTTTTGTTTAAGTTTAGATTCAGCCTGGCCCAGTCAGCACACCATTGTCTGAGAAATATTAGGACGTGAAGAAGGAAAGGAATAGGCTTGGAGCGCGTTGAAATGTTTACAAAATTACTTTACTGTCTCCGTTAGAGGTATAAAAAAAGCTTTTGGAGAACTTTTGTTTCATTTAACCTTTTAATGTCCACTCCTTGAAGTTGTGTGTCATATCTAGAAGTTGGGGGATATATCAAGAAGTCGGGTGTCATATCGAGAAGTTGGGTGATATGTCAAGACAGGACCCCCTTGAAAAAGAGATGGTTCATCTCAAGGGGTTATCCTTAAGAATAAATAAATAAATAAATACATTTTTGGGGGATTTTCCAAAAGATGTAATTTTAATGTTTATTTTAACCCATAGTTTTTAAATTATTGGCCTTTATGAAATGGTTGAGATGCCTAAAAAGTGCCTAAAACCAAGAGATAGAGATGTCCCAAAGAGGGAGTTATTTTTCAAATCCAAGTTTCTGGTAGATACAGTGACTCAAAAAGTGATCCAACAAATGGTTGAGGAAACTATTAATCTCGAAACTCGCGCCTGAGCTTTAATTTCCTTTAGAAAATTCTTTGGATTAAGAACAAAACGTCGGAAAACCTGCTAACTTACAGTAAGTAGAGATGATGGGTGAGCAAGCTTCCTTTGTTTTGAATAATCCCTGTACGACTGAGAGTCTACACAAACTTTAAGAGGTAGAGTTGTCGGACCTGGTGAGCGCAGGTTTTGTCCTCTGGGTGGGGTCCAGGTCCAGGTCTGGGTCTTGGCTCTGGCTCTGGCTCTGGAGCGGGTCACTGATGGCTCTGCTGACCCGGAGTCTCTCCTCACAGCCGCACTCTGCATCCGAGCTGTGTACAAACATTCACTCAGGTTACTGTCGCTGCAGCTTTGTCATCTGTAACCATCAAGGAAGGCTTTTGAAAGGAGACATATAGCTACACCAAAAGCACATTCGCACTGTGAGGCAAGGCAAGTTTATTTGTATAGAGCACTTTATACACAAGGGAACTGAAAGTGATGAACAAAACAAGATAGAGACAAGGCATTAAAATCTTGAATAATCACTGTACATTAAAATCCTTCAAACCTGTCTCACATTTTCAGGAAGACTGTTCCAGACATTAGCTGGTTGTTTGGAACATGGGTCTGTCAGGGGGTTCTTGATAAGCAAAGTCCTTTTGGGAAGCAGCAAACTGATAAAGTGGCTGAACAACACCTTTGGTTCGAATCCAGTTCTCTGTCAACATTCTGCCCATGTAAATGATCAATTATTAATCCACTCTTCAACCAAAAATAAACCTGGATTAAACCAGGTCTAAACCAGGACTAGACCAAGACTAAACTAAGCCTAAAACAAGACTAAACCAGGACTAAACTAGATCTAAACCAGGACTAGACCAAGACTAAACTAAGTCTAAACCAAGACTAAACCAGGACTAAACTAGATCTAAACCAGGTCTAGACCAAGACTAAACTCTGGCTAAACTAGGTCTAGTAGGTAGTAAGAAAGTTTGTTTTTTCGGTCATACTATTTAAAAAAAAAAGTATTTAAAACAGGACAAGGTTTACAAATTTGTGACCGAAGGGATTAGGCTGAAGTATTTTTGCCTAATCCAATTCATAAAGTAAAGTCTCCGAAGTTTAAACCAGGTCTAGACCAAGACTAAACCAAGTCTAAACCAAGACTCTACCAGGACTGAACTAGTTCTAAACCAGTTCTAAAACCAGACTACACCAAGACAAAACAAGGACTAAACCAGGACTAAAGCATTGTTCATTGTATTCATATATGATGGATATCGAGGTGTGATATGATGGATAGTAATGGGATCTTTGAGTCTTGATCTTTCAGTTCAAATCCAGTCTTTAAACATTTACATTACACATGTCTCACTAGTTTAACGTCCGCTGTAGAGAAAAACGTCATTGTTTTGTTGAAAGCGAAAGTAAAGTCAACACCAAAACAATCAATTAGCATGTTTCTCTGCCTGTTCTTAAATTTGTGCTTGGACGATAGTTTACTTTTGAAGGTGTAGATGTAACAGAAGCTTTGATGATTTAAAAAGAAAATGGAAATATTTATCAAATATTTCTGTGAAGAACGAGAACATTAAATACATGTAATATGAAACTATTGAACCAGATGAGAAAACATGACCCACTTTTCAGGGCCCTCCAGTTGGGAGTAGCTTCTGTGTCCAGATCAGAAATGCAAAGAAGAAACACGTGATAAAAATGTCAAGGAAAAAGGAGAAACAGAACATTTTAAACCTTTGTTTTCTGAATTAAAAACGTAGGAAACAGTGTGTGAGCGGCATTCGTGCAGAACAACAACCTGATCTGAGCCTGGAGCGGCCTATTGTTCCATGTGCTCTCAGGTGTCAACACAACTCAGCATGGGCCAAACCAGGTCTAAACTAGGTCTGAACCAGGTCTAAACTAGGTCTGAATCAGGACTATGGTAGGCCTCAAACAGGACTAAAACAAGATAAAACCAGGCCTCAAACAGGACTAAAACACGATAAAACCAGGACAAAAACAAGACAAAAGCAGAAGTCTAAACCAAGACTAAACACGGACTAAAACAGGACTTAACTAGCACTAAACCAACTCTAAATCAGGACTAATACAGGACCCAAACAAAACCAGGACTAAACTAAATGCAAACCAGGTCCAAACCAGGACTAAACTAAGTGCAAACCAGGTCCAAACCAGGACTAGCAGGTCTAAAAGAATAAAAAACAGAAGTTACTCAAGTTGCATGGATATGTAATGAAATTAGATAGACATTTAAATTATTATGTCTCTGGCAAATATGTGGCAGAGCAGTGGAAACTCTCACAATAATTATGTAAAAGTCATTTGCAGAAACAAACTTTAAATGATACTGTTTTTTTGTACTCAAAGGTTAGTTGCTCATGGATGTGTTGAAAATGGTCATGGTAAAGGCAGGGGATCTGTCCGATATAACTGTTCAAAATGTATATACCGTGAAGTAATGAAATAACTGATGCATCTCTGTATTTACACATTATTCACATCACTATAGTTTTAAAGTAACTTGCCTACAACTCAACTTTGCAGTCCGTCCACTCCTCCGGCTCTCGTCTGGTGGCTCGCTCATGGCTCCAAATGTCCAAATGTCCAATGTTCAGAAGCGCAGAGCTGTGATGGGACCATGGGGCGCCTTCACTGACCTGAGCTCGACTGAGACTGAGACAGACCTGAGGGGAGGAGCTCCAGGGACCAGCCCCTAACGCCTCAGTTTACATTCTGTTATTGTAAAGATCCCCATTCAAGTCCATGTGAAGTGTACCGTTAGCCGTGGGGAGTGTGCCTTAAAGAAGAAATATTATGCATTATTTTTGGATCAGTGGTAGTGAGACTTGCCATGCGTTTGTAAAGAATGTGAGAAATTGTCAAAAATAACTTGGGGGCAATACTTTGAGTCAAAGGCAGAAAGCTGCTCTTATAGGTACAATGAAATCAAACTATAATAGGACTGAGACAGGACTCAGACAGAAGGGGCGGAGTTACATGTTTGTGCCAGGAAGAATCTAAACACAACTGCAGGTCTGTTTTTGATGACGGAGCTCACGTGTTCTAAGGTCCCATACTGTTGCACCTGATATTCAAGTGGTCTCCCATCCAAATACTGAAACAGGCTCTGCACTGCTTAACTAAGTGCGTTACAACACCTCCCTGCAGGACAAATACTGATCGATGCTGTATTTCTGATCCATCTTATCTAATCTTTCGAGAAATGACAAGATCAGGCCTTGAAAAGCAGGTAAAAGCTCACATGACTTTTTTGCCAAAATTTTCACAGAAATAGTTATAGTTTGTAAATGTGTTTTCTGTTGTTGAAGGGATGGTTCAATCCTGTTTTGGTCATGTGCACAATATTTACCACAAACGCAGTATTATCCCTCCAGACTACAAACCACATGTGTACTGTGACAGCAAAGGGAGAGCGCAGCCAATCAGACAACTGTGTGGAGCACGCAGCCAATCCGGAAGCGGGGGTCAGGAAGTGGTACGAGCTCTCAGCCAATCAGAGAACAGCGTTTGTTTGGGTTCATTTGTAAATAGTGAACATCATAAAGTCCATGGTAAAGTGAAATATATTGTTTCCAACTAATATCTTAGAGTGGAGATTTAGGGCATGAAGGTGAAAAGCTACAATCTACAACAATAGGAAAAAAACTCGTATTTACATTTAAAACTTATTTACATTTTCCAACTGGTGGTGTCTCACTAGAGCAGTGTTTCCCTTGATTCGCAAGACACATCTTTTATTTCATATTTATAACAAGAGGACAGAGAAGTGTTGTAAACCAGGAATGAACCAGGTCTAAACCAGGTCTAAAGCAGATCTATAGTCGGCCTCAAACAGGACTAAACCAGTTTCAAAACAGGACATATGCAGACATAAACCAAGTCTAAACCAAGACAAAACCAAGACTAAACTAGGTCTGAACCAGGTCTAAAACAAGATTAAACTAAGGACCAGGACTAGCACATCTAAAAGACCTAAAACAGAAGTTACTCAAGTGTAAGGGAATTAGTTTTATATATACATATATGAGTGGGTGCACTCATGTGTTTACTCGGACTCTGAGGCAGACACACGACATACAGCAAACAAACACGCACTTTAGACCCAGATATGAGGAGACAGCGTATGAGAACTAGAGAAGTATGAATTGACAGATTTACAAGTATGAAATACTGTGAAAGTTACATACTCAGGCTTTAAATAAATGCTGCCTAATACTGTACTAACTCTGCACGTTCGAATGTATTTTCATTGAAAGTATAATGATAATAGACAGTTTATAAGAGTCAACACTAAAGAAAGGACAATTTCTGTACAGTTTTAGAATCATATGGGCCTAATACAAACTGATGTGCAGAAAGTCTTTATTGTTGAGTTATATGTGATCTATTTTTAATCTATTTGCAGCGTAAGTAAAGTTTACAGGATATGAGAATGCACACTGGGAATATTTTATTCAAAGAATGTTTACAGAAGAAGTCAGTACAGTAATGCGCTCCCCCTGGTGGCAATGGTGCAGAAATGCATGATTAAACCCAGTCATGAAATCTTCACACGCGTCAGTCACGTGGTAGTTTTGATTATATGCATATGTCAGATTATTTCACTAAACATATTAAGCTTGTTTAATGGTTACAGTATATTCATGGTTAATGTTGTGTAGCCCAATCTCAACCAGAAGGTTCTCTGAGACACCAGGAGGCCTTACACCCACATAACAAGAAACAACTGCATTATATATATAAGTTTGGCCTACTCCTTTGTGCCCGTTTGTCTCGATCAGAATCAAGGCGAGGCCTGCTTACAACTTGGACCGCTGAAATGACGGCTGTAGTGCCAACTGTTGTTGTGTCATTTGGCAAAACACTTCGCCCACATTACTCCTGGTGAGTCTGTAAAGCTATGCAGGGAATGAATTTAAGAAAATGTGTATTGCGGATTTGTCAGGGAGTAAAGCGCGCGTCTTCAGCATCCTGAGCACCCTCGCCCCCCTCCACTCAGCCCCCCCTCTCCTCCGCCCTAGGCACGCGGACACGCGCGGCAGGCGCGCACAGGCGGAGGAGACATGCTTTGTGACGCCAAGGGCAAAGATGAGCGCAAAAACCGGAACGTTGTCCGCACTTCGTGGAAACGCGAGCGGGAGAGACACACTGACGCGTGCGCCTCGTCTTCCTCCAGTGTTTGCGCGGCGCGTCAGGATGCCGCCTCCCCTCCGCTCGCCTTCCTCCCGCCGCACAGCCCTCCGTCACCGCCTTGTGCTTCAGTCATGGCCGAGAACAACAGCAGCGGCAGCAGCGCGAACAATGCACCGCGGCGGCAACATGACGACAGCGCCGCGAAGAAGCACCGAGCCTCGGACAAGGTACCGACGTGAGCCGCGTGTGCGCGCGTCTCTGCCGCCTGTCATTGAGCAGAGGCCCGGTTCACGCGCGGACACAGACACAACACAAACAACAGGACCGAGCAGGACGTGGTGGGACGTAGTGAGACGTGGTGGGATATCAAAAGAGCATTCTGGCTTTGGATGTGTGTGTGATGTCCCTGAAAGGCCTGGTTTCGTCCTGGTTCAGTCCTGCTTTACTCCTGGTTCAGTCCGGGATCACTCCTGGTTTAGTCCTGCTTTATTCCTGGTTCAGTCCTGGTGTAGTCCTGGTTTGGGCCAATTTAGGTGCTCGTCGCTTTGTCCTGATTGAAGAATGGTTTTGTCCGGGTTTGGACCTGGTTCAGTCCTGGCTCAGTTCTAGTCCTGCTTTAGGCTGAATGAGGTTTTGTCTACACTGTTGTCTTCGTCTGGCCTGCATGTGTGGGTGACTCCAGGATTCAGTGATGTCACTGTGTTTTGGTCGTTGACATCTTGTTTCAGCAGTCGGTCTTGTGACAGATGTAGTCCGGTTTCTCCTGGTCCAGTCCTGGTCCAGTCCTGGTCTAGAGAATCTTCAGGGATGGGCTTTTATCCATATGGTGTGAGCTAAATTTAAAACCATGTCTAATTGTCTGACAGTATACAGAATACCTATACAGGGCTGAACACATCCATACTGACAATTGCTCTGTTGAAATGTATCTGACCCCTTCATGATATTAAAGTGTGTTATTATGTCAACTGAGAGGCCAACACAACAAAGTGCTCAATAATATTAGGATTATGTTCGCAAACATCTGTGCCAAAATGTTTTGTACCAAATCTTGTATGTATCACAGAGAGAAAGAAAAAACCCTCCAGACCAATTTTCAGATAAACAAGATGGAAAACAAGTTACTACTATGTTATAAGTCGATTTTGGACAATATTCCACATGTAACAATGAATAATTCAATAATATTTTGGTTTTCTGAGTGGTTAGCCCCCCTCCTCTCCTCTCACTGCACATGTGACAGATGACATACGAGACGTCCCCTTTTGTTGTCATTGTCTCTGTTGTGGGAGCGTGCACGTGTCAGTAGGAGCGCGCTTGTGAATGTTCTGAAGGAAGTGTGTCCTCGAATTCTCCTTTCCTCAAAATGTCTTCAACGTTTAAGGGAAAAAAAATAGTATTCGTACGTTCCCCTCAAAGCACTTGAAGCTACACTGCTCTCTCCCTTTTGCCAGAACCACCCAAAATACACAGCGGCTGGAGTAAAACTGTGGAATCTATACTTATGAAATATGAAAGAATATAAAAAATCTCTACAAATCTCCTCAAAAAAAATGAATGAATTAAAACATGTATTTAAAAATCAAACCAGTTTTAAGGAGTTTTTTACGCAGTCGTTAAAAATGTTGTTTGTACATAAGATTTTTCTTTTCTTAAATCTGCTTCTTTTCATTCGTGTGACAACAATTATTTAAAATGTAATTGTAACGTGTTTTGTTCGTCACGTCCACAACTGTAATAAATAAATATAATCTTTTGTTACGACCACAAACATACATTTTTTTGAGTGGAACTTTAAGTGAAAGTGAAATTGTTACATATAGATACATTTTTGCCCATTCAGAGAGTAATTAGAATATTTATTTTAGAGCAGAACTTTTTTGCAGACTTCTGACAAGGGAACCCTGCCTTTTGCTTCATCAACATTCATTCCCATCAACTCTGACACACTTTCCTGTCCCTGTTGAAGAAAAGCAGCCCCAAAACATGATGCTACCACCAGATTTGACTGTGGGGATGAAGCCTGTTGGAGCAGTGATAGTTTTTATAATCTTGCACTAGAATATACTGTAAATAATAATGTATGCCTTCTAGGGGCTTCAACACTAGCTTTCCCTTTGCCGCTCTTCCACAAAGGCCAGATTTGTATAATGCATGATTATAGTACAGATTTCCCTCCATCTCAGCTGTGGATGTCTGTTGTTCCTTCAGATTTTCCACAAGCCTCTTGTCTGAATCTCTAAACAGTGGTGTCTTTTGGTTTCGTTGGACGGCCGTGTCTTGGTAGGTTTCAGTGATGCCATGCTCTTTTATTTACAGACGATAGATTGAACACTGCTCCATGATGCGTTCAAAGTTCGAGAAATCTTTGTATAACCTAAAAATGCTCTGAACTTCATCCCTGACCTTTCTGGTTTCTTTGACTTACTGATGCTGAAATGTTCTATATATATTGCACACCTATAACCCTGAGGCTTCACTGAACAGCTGTGAGTGTATCAGTGGCGGCCGGCCAATAGAGGGCGCTAGGGCGCCGCCCCACCACTCACAACTTGCCATGTTACCTTGAATAAAACGTTAAAAAAATAATAACATTAAAATATTTCGAAATTTATGTGTGTTTTATTTCAGATGTGGAAGAAATACTTTATAGTTTATGCTGAGTTGGATTGATTAAGCTCATCAGCGTTGTCTGTGTCGGACTGAGGACGTATTTCCGCCTCAGGGCGCAAAAGATTGCGCCCTGAGCCGTCTATGGACTCTCGTTAAAAGTTGTACATGCGCAGTAGCTCCTCTTCAATGCAAGAGATAAGACGATTTGGGGGCGCAGGAGAAGTGCGCCCTGAGGGGGCGGGATCGCCCGCGACCTGTACTGTCACTGTCTGTGACGTCCGTTTACAGTGATTGACAGGTCAAGCTGTGGGAGTTTGAGACGAACGTAAAGAGACGCAAAATGGAGAACGAGAAAAAGAATAATTCAGTTAGATCACTCAAAACAATACCGTTTGAGAGAAGATCATACCAGGAGAAGGTTGAGGTTAAAGAGCTTGGACCTGATCAGCCAAATATTACCATTAGTCAGCAGTCCAGCGACAGGGGGAGACGGTACACTCGTACTTTTTCCAGGACCTGGTTCAGCGCCAAATCTTGGCTAGCAGCATGTAGCGAGGCTAATGCTTTATTTTGCTTTCCATGCCTCTTGTTTCAAACATCAGGATCTGACCCAGCATGGATCAAGACAGGTATGACTGATCTGAAGCACTTTTTAGAAAAGGCAAAGAAGCATGAGCAGACTGGTATCCACATGCAAAATGCCCTCATATTAGCTATGTTTGGGAAGATAAATATTTCATCCCAGCTGGATGAAAGCTACAGGGTAGGGATCAGAAAGCATCATGTGACCTTGTTGATTCTCGTGTGAGGCTTCAGTCACAACAGTCAGTGTAAACTTACTTACTGCTGGTATATATCTAGTCATCATATTCATAGCCCCCCCAGTAGAAAATTCCACCAGCCGCCACTGGAGTGTATTGATGTTACTATTACTGGGTCAACCTTTGACTACTCATCAGGCAACCTCTTAAGGTAATTGGTTGCAGAAAAAAAGGCTGAACCTTTTTAAATGTTTCTTTGTTTTGTTTTTCACTTGTGTCTTTTATATAAAATGCCAATAACGTATGTTTGTGGTCATAACATAACAAAGACATAGGGCTGAACAGCATTTCATATCTCGATATTCATACCAGGCAAGGCAATAACTAGGTTAAATGAAAACCAAGCATTTTTCAGAAAAAGTCCCACCTTCCAATGTTTGTCATTGGCCGGCTTCAGCTGTCAATCCACAGCATAACATTAGGTTTGTGGTTGGCTGTGTAGTGGTGCATTCAAGGGCAATTGTTAAAAATATGTTTATTCTGACTGCAGAGCTGCAAATGCAGGGTGAGCGAGAGGGGAATTTAGTGTTTATTTTGCTGCTTTGTATATATTAATAATGTTCATGTCTAAATGTTGATGCAATAACGATATATCTTCTAGCTATCTTTCTCTTAAATTGAAAATTACGACACTGTGTTTTTTAAGAGATTGGATGGAGCAGAAAAGGGTTTTATATTCTGGATATAGTAAACCAAGGCTTATGCAAGGTGATGCAAGGTGAAACGTATGTGTTGATGTTTTTTCTTTTTTTAACAGTTTAAGTATTCCTCTACTTCTAAGCATACTCACTTTCTGCTGCAGGCTTTAGCCATCTGTAAACCTGTACCTGGTTCTGACTTGGAATGTGATGTAGGGCTGAAACTGTAGCTCAATGTTTTACAGAGCTGTTTCAGAGTGCTGCTGTCTGACTATGACACATACAGCAATTAACTGTCTTGCTTTTGTCTTTGTAATATGAATTGGAGGATGTTGTGTCGCAGAAGTAAAAAAGATTAATTGAAAAACCTGATTAAGTTGAAGTTACAATATCAATATGAGAACAGAAAACATAACACATTTCAGATGCAAAATCAAACCAATCAAATGTCATCACATATTAGAACTCACCTCTTAATTTTTAGAAAAATGATCATAGTTTTATCAAGTAATAATTTCCCTGAGACATGAGCCCAAGGCTACCTCTTTGCATTGCTTTTAAACATGGATTTGGTGAAGACAAAAGCATGAGCCGCAGAAAGGACAGAGAGTACACACTATTCAACGATTCCCACCAAGATGATTGACCTGAGCTTTGTTGGCATTGAACAGGTCCCTTCTTCCCAGGGAGGAAGCGTCTCAAATGGAGAGCGTACTGGATCAAACATTTGTGAATCTTTGCACCAATTGGACTCATTTTGGATGTTGGTGTATAGCTGAATGAAAAGATTATCATTGGGTACTGTGATAGCTGCATCCATTATATACTACTGTACCTACTAAACCCATGGGGTGTCGTTGCTTCTCGATGAATAGAACACTGGAGTATGCAAGTAGACAGTATGTGTTCTCTTTAATATTTTTATTGTTATAGCACCTACACCTGGAGGTAATTTGTTCACTTTTTATTTCCACTTGACCAAAGAATTTTAACTATAAGTTTTCATTTGTCATTTTCAAATATGAGAAACCCATTGCCAATCAATCAATCAATCAAATCTTTATTTGTAGGGCACATTTAAAACAGCCTAGGCTTAACAAAGTGCTGTACAGAGTGCTAAACTAGACTAAACAGACTAGAACTCAACTGAGTGACGACCTCTGAATTTAGGAATGTATATGTCCTATACTTTAATTTTCTCCAAATTTCTCTCCCTGTGTGTCAGATGGATCCACAGTTCAGCTTGGCCTCCTGCACAGGTTCTGTTGCTGTTCCCGTGGGTCTGTCCTCCTCCTTGCTCCCCTCATTCTCCTCTGGCCTGCCCCTGCCCTCACACAGACCTCTCCAGAACCAGGTCTGCATGCGCTCTGTGGGCACTAACACCCAGGAGAGGGCCACAACGGAGGGAGAGCTCCCGCAAAGAGGCCCCTGCCAACCGGGCACCAGCGTCAACCTAGAGGGTATCGTCTGGCACGAGACTCAAGAAGGTGAGTAAGTCCATATGGCACTAACATGTCACAGATGTGCTTTGGTGGTACACACAAATGAGAGCCCAGTTGCTTTAAAGAGTGTTCTCTGAGCTACAGGAAGGCTGAAATAATGCTGCAAACTAGGAGCTGATCTAGTTCCCTCATTTCACATACAAGTTCAACTATGTCAGCAAGAATAATTACTAAGTAAAAGTAGATCTGAGAAGTTATTGTAATGACCATATAAACTTACAAGGAATATTGTTTGTTAGCCCACAGTTTAGCATTTAGCAAAAATGTGGCGAATTAAGGAGGAGCTCTCTCAGTGGAAGGCAGACATCCTCAGTGCAAGAAGGAGCGCTCCCACAGTGCCTTTATCCCCACTGCTGTCAGACTGTACAATGAGTCACTTTAAGTCACTTGCACTAGGACTGAAAACCCTGCACTACTATTGACACTGTTTCTTGATTGCCACTTTTTATTGCCACTTTGTTTTGTACATAATATGTCTTGCATTTAACATGTTTGCACACTTCTTTCTTTTGCACAATCTTGAGTGTTTCTATCCATGCCAGATGTGACATGTACATTTCTCCTGTGTGAGATCAATAAAGTTGATCTTAGCTTATCTGAACTTCTCTTAACTTTGTAAAGTCCTCCAAGATGACTACTGATATTCAAAAATATATTGAACTAAATGGAATTATTGGTCATTTTGTTGGGAGTACTCCCTTTCTTCCCTACAGTATAATCAACATAGTGAAACCATTGGTCCACTTTCACCTGCCTCATGTCCTCTGCATAGTGTGATTTGACGGTTATTACTGCATTTTAACTAGCAGAGGCAGGGGTCCCAGGATTGACCCCTGTGGTGCCCCAGGTTTAGTAAATGTAATCTTCTGCTTTTTACAAATTACTTGAACCAACTGATACCAAATAAACAGATCATTAATTGTTGTATGTTTGACCAGTCGTTCTCAAGCTCATCATAGTATCATACATATTAATCTCTCCTTGTTGTCGAGTAGGTTGTAAAGAACTTTGGTGTCATCAATTTACTCAGAACAAGATATGGGTTCGATGGCTGAACAACGGGAGTATTTTTGATTGACAGGTGTGCTGGTGGTGAATGTGACTTGGAGGAAGAGGACGTACGTGGGGACGCTGTTGGACTGCACCAAACACGACTGGGCTCCTCCCAGGTAATTCTCTTCCTGAACTCCACTCACCTGAAGGTCAGTAGGCTAACATGGTATTGAGCTTAGGATGTAATGTCAAAAACAGCCTTTACCATGGAAATCTGACATTTTTGTTGGCAGCAGGTAAATACATTTATCTTTTCATGAAATACTGCCGATTGAAAATGTGCACTGGTATAATATTAGGCTAACTGAAGATTGTTGTACATGTGACATGATAGCAAGCTCTGCTGTTTAAGTGTATAATCCAGGAAAAACAAAAATGTTTTAGGTTGTTCAAAATTTGCCCCTTTACGCCTGCACCACATGACAAGGCTTAAGTAGCTGTGATTAAAAGCTGATTTTTGGAAATCCATGAGTCTGATTGTTTGGTATTGTTCATATCGTTTTTTAGTTGATCTTTTTGAAATCCTTAGACAATCCAGACAAGGAAAATATTGAATGAAAAAAAAAGTGCGTAGGAAACAGATTCTCTGTGTGTGTGGCTAACATGGAAAGTAACCTGACATGCAACCCTGTTTATAGCAAAGAGCAACTAATTAGTGTAAAATGTCAGAATGGAGAGAAAGCGTCTCAGCCAGGTACTGAGGCATTTACAGAGAGAGGAGAATGAGAAAACTCTGAACATAAAAATTAATACAGCATGTGGAATTAATAGGACAAAATTAAAAGTCTTTGTTAAGATTGTGAAGAGAAGTGACCATAGCAAAGGGTCACAAAACTAAACCATTATCAGTGAAAAATGCAGCACATGCATCCTGATTACAGACTTGATATAGATCAGAGTAGAACGATACAGAACTTTGCTGCTTCTTCCACCTCATACGGTTTGACTAAGTTCTCCTTGTGTGATCCAGGTTCTGTGAGTCTCCCTGCAGTGATCCCGAGCTGCCTGGAGGTCGCGGCCGAGGGAAGAGGCTGCGCTTGGCCCTGTCCGAGCGCTCGTGCATCGATTCGTCTCCGGCCGGTAAAGTCCGTGGGATTAGCACTCACCGGAGCAGAGGCGGCGGCACCAACTCGCTCCACAAGGGACGGCGTGGTAGCCTCAACCTCATCAACGCCAACGGAAGATCTTCGTTTTTCACGGTGGATGACGGTAAATCTGCTAACAGTCTGTCTGGGAAACGAAAGAACAAGCCGCCAGCGGATTTGGATCTTAGCCTGGTCAGAACGGACGATATTAAGAACGGAAACGGGAAACGGATCCGGGCCAAGTCACGTAGCGCTCCCTCGACGCCACAGGGTAAAAACGACCCCTCCTTCATGGATCCTGGAGGTGGAGGTCTGCCCATTCTCATAGATTGTCCGCATCCGAATTGCACCAAGCGCTATAAGCACATCAACGGGCTACGGTACCACCAGACGCACGCGCATTTAGAGGTGGAGGAGCGGAAACCTGATGTGGATGTGATAAAAGACCCAGACAGCGAGGATCGGCTGTCCGACTGCGAAGATGGAATTGGAAGTTATGATATTTCGGAAGGTTCGTCAAAGAAAGCCACTCCAATGTATAAAGTTACCACTGTAGGCTCTCCAAAAAACCGGCGGCTTTTACTGAGCACGGACCAAAGTACTAAAACACGACGGACTTCTATCCTTAAAGATGGACTCATAGACGATTTGACAAACTTACCCATAATCTCGAACATGACTGTTGTACTTGAGAATTGCATGGTGCCAGACAGAAATTCCACTGTGGAGATGCCAAAGCTAGAAGCAGAGGGGTTGATTGACAAAAAGAGCAAAAAGGCAAATGGAAAAGTTGAGAAATTATCTAAATCAAGAATAAACCGCCCTATTGCTCCAGCGCCTGCGCCTCCAAAACTAATAGCAATCCCAAACACATCATATGCTGCTAACTCAAATACAGAAAGTCAGCAACAGCCGTTGAGTTTAACGACAAAAAATATACCGTTAAAACCCATAAAACCAAAAGTAGGTATTGTAGTAGAGCCGAGTTTAGTCAAAGCGACATTAGTGGGATGTAGCAAAGAGATGAAAAAGAAGGAAAAGAAGAGACTAAAAGACAAACTAGCTAAAGATGGTGCTACTCGGACAGCTAATGGGGAGCATATTAAAATAGAAGAAAATGTAACCAAAATTGTGGTTAAAGAGATTCCTGGGAGTCTTTTGAAGGAACATTTGAGCAAGCAGGAAGTGATTAACGGTTTATCGGAAACAACAGAGAGTCGCATGGCCAGTATCAGAGCAGAAGCCGATAAAGTTTACACGTTTACAGACAATGCGCCCAGTCCTTCCATCGGTGGCTCCTCTCGAATGGACGGGGGTAGTGTGGACAGTAAAAACAACAGCCCTGCGTACTCGGACATCTCTGACGCAGGAGAAGATGGAGCTGCCAAGTCTGTTTCGTCTGACGTTAGCGCAAACTCGAACCACGGGAATACAAAAAACCCTGTGAAGGAGACCCCACAGTCCCCATACTATCACGGATATGACCCCTACTACCTCCAGGGATACACGCCACCCGAAAGACAGAGGAAGGAGCGCAGGGAGGAGCCAAAAGAGGACGATAAAAACTTTGTGCACGACTTCTCCGAAAGTAAAAAATCAGAAGGACAATCGCAGCTGCAGCTAGCCATGAGCCAGACAGCGCTAGCCCAGTCGCTCTACTACGGACAGTACTCGCGAGGATTGTACGTGGACCAGAAGTTAGTCCTGGCCTCAAAATGTTGCGATTCAAAGCAGAGAGTTCGAGATGGAGATGAGATGAAACTTGGCGTTGGGAAAGACGGGGCGAGCGCAAAAAGCCCCAAAGCCGCTCATTCGTATGTGGAGCTAAACGAGCGCACAGACAGGGGGCAGCAGAGGGACACTGACGAGCTCTCTCAGGCTGAGCTGGACTCTAGCAGCCCCTACGCCACTGTAAGTTTCCCCCTCTGTCTTTAGAGCTTGACGCAGGTGCTAATAATGACTGTCAGTAGGTGCTAATCGGACTTGTGGCTTCCTGATCTGCACCAAATCCAGTTTGTGATTAATAATTTATCATTGCGCATGAAGGCAACATTGAGACAAATTAATCAAACCTTTAACCTCTTACATGGCCACTTTCTATTTTTGATCCGTTTACAAAGAGAAGGAATCATTGCGCACATCAGTATAATTTCTCGAGGGTTTGTGTGTGTGTGCAACCCTGAACGTTGGAGCAAACTGGTTCATGATGAATGTGTACAGATGGAACTAAACCACTAAATTTGCACTATTTTATTTTGCACACGCAGACAGACACAGTTTCTCTCACTATTTCATTTTTAAGCCGTCACAAGCATCAAGCACTTCTTCCATTGAATAAATGAATGATCAGACTTTGACGAGTAAACTTCTGCAACATATGGTAAAGCAAGGTTCAATAATTACATTTTAGTAGTATGAATATAATAGTTCGGGGGGATATCTAGACAATTCTGAATACTCATTTTGAATAACTGCATGGTACAATTACTTTTCTTTTGATGGTTTTCAGAATACACTTTAATAGCAAAGATATACTTTGTGTAATCAAGGGCAAAATATATAAAAAAACATTGTGGTAATCATATAATGCATGTTTACATTATAAACAAACTTTACATTATAAAGTATTCAGAGCACAGTAATCTTATTGGATCATGTATAAAAAAACAAAATAACTAAGTATGTTTTCTCCCCAATACTGAGTCTGGCTGTAGTATTATGTTATTTGCTTGACCAGTCAGGCCTTCTACTTGACTGAGCGATCAGCCCAACTGGCTCTGTTCAAGATGGCGGCCGCTGCAGGTGATTGAGTGTTGTTTATAAGGTCACAAAAATTCTCTGTTTTGTTGCTGACATACATGATTTAGATTAAAGTAATTCCGGTCTCCCCTAATTGGTTCTCTACATGTCCTATTTCTAACATCACCCATTAAATAGGCGGCTAGAGATCTAGAGCCACCCATATTTGTAAATAAATTTAGTTATTGTAAAATTGTGTGGTTCTGACTGGTCAGGCAATTAGCTTCTAGTTATAGTTACATTTTTATTCAAATGGTTGGGGTAAACAACAGAACTTTTTTTGCTGTTCCCCAAATCAATCAATCTACGATTGCCCCAGTCCCCATCAGGTCCATCCATGCTTGGTTTTTGGTGAGCATGGATGGAAGTATATCTCCTTTAATTAAACGTATTATTTTGCAACACAAAAACATCACAGCAGTAATACTTTGACACAACTATCTGAAATGCTCTCATGGAGAGACCAAATTAATGTTGCCATGTTAGCTTGGCTGTTTCTTACCTTGTGCACTCAAAAGCATCTGCTTGGAAGTACAGTGCTTTAAAGCCTTACTCAGGAGTGATTGGACTGTGTGCTTACGTACATGTAGCGTGTATTGATCAGTCATAGTGGCCAGGTTTACGTATGCATCAAATCTAAATTGTCGGCCCCGAATAGATTTGGATTGGACTGGCGCAGATCTGGGAGTGACAGAGCTGTGTTTTGGTGCTAACACCACTCGCATGGTGTTTCTGAATGTCGTTACGTGGGTTAGATTTAAAGGGAAAGTAACCTCAGAATTAATTAGTTTATCATAATGACAGTGTTTTTGGTATTGTACAGGTTTTAAAGGTGCTAAACATGTTTGTTCACTGTAAAAACAAAGGCCATGTTCACACATAAAGGTATTATTATTTAATATTGTTTACAATTTTCTACATTGGTACAGAAAACTAAAGTGCAGCTGCCTCTGTTCTGTACTGAGGGGAATGCAAAAAATATCAAGTTTATAATTTAAGTTTTCAGCATTGTTTGTGTTTGTTCAACCCATTTTGGAAACGTTTTGTGATGTAAAATTCCGTTTTTTACATTATTATTGTGAAAATAATTGCAGATAAATTGCTCAAACAAGCGTCCGGCTAAAAATAGTATCCGGTGAATGGGAACGTACCTCATACATCAAATATGTGATTTTTATCAAACATGCTCAAATGAAAAACATTGAAATCACAATGAGTAAATATGCCCTTTCCTGTCATTAGTCGGCTACATCCATTTGTCTCTCAGATTTGTCCTGGGCCATTCATTCACTTTGAGCTCCACCTCCTCATACTAAGGGAGCGCCCAGCATCTCTGCAGAGAAAACCCATTTTGACAGCTTGTATCTCCTCTTTTCGGTCATTCCCAAATCTCATGACCATAGGTGAGGTAGATCAAGAGCTTTGCCTTATGACTCAGCTCCCTGTCTACTACAACAGTCCGATACAGCAATATTCATGAACTCAATTTAAGGAAGAGGGCACCTTGTACATTTTTCAGAACAACTGGGTTTAGCCAGAGCAGCATTGTGTAAAGGGCCAATATTGTCTGGTATGATTTCATATTTCCTTAATCCTACTACGGATAAAGATTTTTTTTATTTTTTTATTTTTAAGTTCCTTCACTTATTGAGCTCTACTTGATTCTATGTATCCATCATATCTGAGTAGTTCTTATAGAATTCAATATCTTTATCTGTGTGGACTTGGCCTGAATGTTGTGTTGCTTGAAGCTGCTACTTGCCCCGCCATGTCTAAGCTAACACGCTCACCTTTTGTATCCATCTGCCGTCATGGGAAACTGGTTTACGTGGATTTGTGTCTGAATCCAAAATGGCTGCTCCATCTGTATTTTCACATCCACACTCCGTCCCATCGCCATCAGCACGGTCGCAGCTGACTCTAAGCATGTACCATGTCTGTAACCCGCGACGGGACATGTTCTTTTGCACAATGTACCCGATGTGGCAGTCTGAATAGTATTGTACTTCTAGTGGTGCCAGTGTTTCTGTAAATGCTAAATTTGACCCAGTTTGGTTTAAGGAATGACTTTTGTTCCCAATCTGACTTGAACACGTGTGCTTATTCAGATTGCATCACCAGCTTGTTTACTGTTATTGGCTGAAGCTATTTTCCTAACATGGAAAAGTCGACATGAATAATATTAAAATCAAACAATCAAATAAACACTCATCATTGAATGCACTCTTTCTTTCGACGCAACAGGGGTGTAATGATAATCTCAGGCTGAGCAATTGTGTTTTGATGTAATCAGAGATCTCATCTGAAAGGACGCATATGCAATTTGGGTCTTTTCAATCTTTCTAACATGTTGCAACATTGTTCCTACATTGTACACATACTAAATATGTATATTTTAAGACCAGTTGAAAAATTGCTTGTGCGAAATAGAAGTGAAAAAACGACAACAAAGTAACATAGACAAATAGATGATTATATGATAAGCCAAAAAGAAGATTCTACTTGAGCTGCAGTCAGTGTGGTAAAGTGGAGGGAGAGCCATTATGAATGATGGTGCTTTTGCCTTCTGGGTATTCTTACTCTTCTGATTCAGTTTGAGTGCTTTTTCAATAAATTACATACTCATCTTCACTCCTACTTGACTTTGCATTTTGAAACATATAAGTCTACTGTGTGACTCTTGAAACCCTTGTAATTTTTCTTCTGGTCATAACATTCACAAGTATTTCAAATAAAGTTTAATATTAAGAACAAAACAAATATGTAATATGTGTCCTTTGAGAATGTCAAAGAGCAGTACCATCTGAGAGGAAACTTTCATTTCAGGTCACTAAGTTGTTGGTTTTTACACAGAGTAAAAGCATTGGAGGTTTTTACCATGTTTAAATTCTGGAATGACAAATCATCTTGGTTTAATTTCTATGTTTGTTTAAGAAAATAATTAAATAATTGTAAATTATCTTATTTTCCAGCATTTGAACAAGAATTTTGGAAGAAGTTTTTCCCTTCACAATGATGAAGGGAAAAACTAAGGGCGGCACGAATTCCGGTCCGACCGGTTCGAATCCCGGTCGGACCAGGGCCTTTCTGAGTGGAGTTTGCATGTTCTCCCCGTGTCTGCGTAGGTTTCCTCCGGGTACTCCGGTTTCCCCTACCACTAAAAATATGTACAATAGGTCTGGCATGCGCCTCCTGTACTGGTGCCCCCGCTCCCATCTCTGTGTGTAGAGACAAATGCCCAACAAAAAATAACACTTGTAAACCGCTTTGAGACTCAGATCTGCAGTGAAAAGGCGGTATATAAATACTTACTTACTTACTAAAAAGGACTGAAGCAATTTCGCTTTTGTTTATGGTTATGTGACAAGAAATAGAATACTCTTTTTAGCTTTAAGGTCTATCATGACCAAGGACTGGGTTGTAAAAAGTTTTTGGGATAATTAACTTTGACAAGCATGAAAAGCACATTGTTACACCCCTGGTTGCGTTATTCTTTAATCGGTTTGGTTCATTTGGTGGTACGTTTTTAAAGTCTTTTAATTTGTGTGAGACATTTGAAAATGGATGCCTCACCTGTCGCCGCATCCTGCACTTTGATTGGCTGTCTACTGCTGTGGTCCGCTGTGATTGGCTGCTACTGTCGTCATGCTCCATCTTCATCTCACCCAGATCTAAGAAGGCTGCTCTTAGTGGCTCTGAGATGAAAAGTTGTCTGTCAATACTTCAGCCATGGGAATAACAAATATACACTGAAAACGAAAATTATTTTTTTGCGGCTTAGGTCGTTTTTGCTCTGACTGCTTCAAACAAGTGAGTGGTTCCCACTCACTGATTTAAAACTTATTACCACATCTTGCTAGTTTACAATTTTATTTGTTGTTGTTGTTATGGCTCAAGCCACTTGATGGCTACATAAATAGCAGCTTTGTGGTTTGGACAAAGTCAAATATGAAGTTGCCAAAGAAACTGAATCTTCATGTCCATGCTAATTGGCATAGTCAACGTTTCAGTCAGTATTTGAATGAATTGTTCACCTTTCTCTGAAAGCTTTCTGCGAGAGAGATCACATATTGCTTTTCCAGAAACCTCTTCTGAGTTTATAAAGGTAGGTGTTTGTGTCTCAAAGCGACTGGTTATTTTTTAATAAACGTTTCCCTTTTTTTATTGGATCATGCCAACATACGTTGCTCAACAACCCACCAAGTAATTGGTTTTCCGATTCAATTACAAAATGTGGCAAAAATGTCACATGTGCAGCTGTTTTTCACTCATTAAAACATGTTTAATTCTTCATTGAGCAAAATTCTGCTTCAACTCACTCAAGCCCTCGCCAAACTAAAAAAACAGAACACAGCTTATTGTATTATTATATTAAATGTATAGGAAAGAGTCCAATGAGCACCAAACGCTTTGGACTGAGAGCTGATTGGCTGAAATATAGAATGGTCCTTTTTTTTTTTTTTTATGCTGAACTAAGATGTGACAGAGCCCAGACAATGGATGAATGTAAAAACTAAGTAACTAACTAAACCTACGATTTAAGACGTGGTTTAATTTTTTGTGGTTTGAAAGTTGGGTACCCCAGCTTTAAGCGAGCCTCTGGCAAACTCAATCTCTTGTTGAGTGCTTCAGCAAACTGTGTGTTCCTGGCTTTAGTCCTTAGACGGTGGCGTGTGGAGGAGCTTTGTGCATGGTAAATACTGCGAGGAGGAGACAGGGGCCCCTCCGGAGCTCATGCCCAGAGCCCAAGAGAGAGACGGGAAGACAGGAGAGGAGCTGACGGGACCCCTGTGTGAGGACAGCCAGAGCGCCAGGGCGGCCGTGTCTCCTCCGTCACCACAGCCTTATGCCCAGTACCACCCCCCAGCCTTCCCGGCCTACCTGCCCAGCATCAGTGAGCCGTCCGCAGGCAGCTACCGAGGCCTGTCCCCCACTCTGGTGCACTCCTACCCAGGTCAGAACCACACTACTTATTAAACATTTACAGGACACATTGTGGCTTGCGAAAGTACAAGATCCTTTGTGCATATTTACAACCACGAACATAACACTTTTGTTTTGGGATTTCCTTTTGAAAGACAGACGCAAGTTTATTTTTGTTTTAATAAAAAACTGAAAAAACCTTTCCACATTCATAAAGCATTTCTCTGAGTGCATTAAATAGCCTTTGAAATTGTCCTATAATGACTGCCCACTCATAGTAATCTATTGAATATGATCATCTCTGTCCAGGAGGTAAAGTGATCACCTTCGTTTGTTTGTCTGCAAGCATAACTCAAAAAGTTACAGGAGGATTTGCACAAAATTTTCAGGAAACATGTGCAGCTAATTACATTTTGAAGGTGAATGAATGGAACCTCGCCTTTAAGTGGAGTTTTTCAGTTACATAAGTTACTAGAGAGTATTGATCACTAGACAGCATCTTGTTTATCATATCATATCATAAGTTTATCATATCTTGTCTGAAAGGACAGGGAGAAAATTGTGGAGAAATTTAAAACAGCATTAAATTATTCAAGCTTTAAACATCTCACAGAGCAGAGTTTCATCCATACTTTGGAAATGGAAAGAGTTTGGCACCACTGCAACTTTGTGGTTGTAAACAGAAAACCAGTGCTAACTTTTGCACACCACTGTAACATTATTTTTAGCTGTACCCATGCTAATATCTGGAATGTTTGGCACTGTGTTGAATTTCTCCCATCTGTTTACACTGATCTGCTATAGCTGCTGAGGTCTCAATCGCCTCCAAAAATCACATAACTGCTTCAATAATGTTTGTAATGGCTTGCATTCAAGGTTTTAATCTCGTTTCGACTGTCAGACTGCAACAGATTTTTAAGAACTTCTCTTTTCTGGCCACAGATATTTTGTCCAAGTTATGAAACATGAAATACCAAAATGAGGCTTCATGTTTAAATGGTCAACATGAATACAAATAGTGCACAATATTTTTTTCTTTTTGTACTTTCCAGGTTTCCACTACCCGCTGTACGGAAAGACTGCGGGCAGAGAGGAACAGGAAGGCGCTGTGACCAGAGGGGGCGCTGTCAGCAGTAAACACGCAGACTCCGGAGTGCTGGAGCTACTTCCTGCCGCTCACCAGTTTCATGGGAAGTCTCCAGCTGTGAGTGATCGTTCATTCACAAACTACCACCTGTTTGATCTTGAGCAAGGCCCATTCACCAGACCTGGTCCAGTTAAAGTGACCCAGACTTAAAAATGTGAACACGCCTAAAGCATGAGGACGTGCTTTGTGTGTCCCAATTGTCCCCAATATCAGTAGTGGACAACAGTTGTTTGCTGGGTTTTAGATAAATAAGGTAGAGATCAAACCAGTAGACCCCTCGAAAGACACAGTCATATGACTGATAATTTTACATATTGTAGTTAGTTGATGAGACGCACACAGCACTTTGAGTCCAGGGCTCGGTTCATTTTAGAGGGTGTAATAGTTACGTTGGATTATGACGTAACTATTACACCCTCTAGCTTTAGCTTATGTCATTAATTCAAGCCAGTTTATTCTCTTTCTCATCAAACACCTGTTAATTATTAGACTTACGGCCCATAAAGTCTAAAGCAAAGTGGACATGTGTCAGTGGTCTGACCTGGTGCGTGTGCTCCTCAGCCCGGGGAGAAGGGTTCTCCGGAGGCAGACTCCAACAGGACTCATGTGTCGTTTGGACGTCACCTCCACAGTCACCACTCGGCTCTGGGCCTCGGCTACAGCCTGCTGCCACCGTACGACCTGTACACAGGTGAGCACTTGCTTCACAGCAAGAAAGTCCTGGTTTTGATTCCACCTCCAGACAAGGCCTGATATGGAGCAGGTGAAGCTTTTTAATATGTCTTGATGAGGAACTATGTTGTAAAATGGTTGTGTGTTGTGTTTTCCCAGAGAGCGATGGAAAGAAGTGAGAAAACCACCTCCACAACCTCCAGCCCACTTTCCTGAACCTGCTCTGGGCTGACCACACCCACACCAGACATCAGCCTACACACCATAAAGTGTCTATGGCAGTTTTAAAGATTTTATAATTATGGCTTTAACAACACATGTATTTATATGTTTTGCATCAATCATCATAGCAATTGGTTTTAGATTCAGTATGATACAGTATTTTTAACGGTACGTATGATGAGCACTTTTGGCAGCTATGGTAGTTTTTGTTGTTTTTTCTTAATATTAAGGGCCTTCAAGTCATCTACCTAGTCTCTCATTTTCCCCTTGACAATTTCAATTTCCCTGAACATTCATGAAACATTTTGGGGACCTTTTTCCGTTCAAAAGATTGATATTTACGAGTTGATGGTTGATCACTAGCCACATTCTTTATGTTTCTTCATTCAGAACCTCACAGATAAATCCCATAAAGAATCTATGGTTTATTTCAGGAGAGATGGCTAACACACTAACACCGTAACACTAACACCCAAAAAATAAAAAGTATCTATCTATCTATCTATCTATCTATCTATCTACCTACTATGGTAATTAAACCAGCTTTTAGTGTCTTTTCCCCTGCTCTAGAGGAGTTTAGGCCCATTCGTCTTGGTGATTTATAATATTATTAAACTAACAACATGCTAACCTAGGAACAAAGTTTGCCAATTCCAGCAAAATCTATCCTGTCATAGACACTTTTTGTGTTAGTAGAAACCGGACTAACATCTCCTCAACGACCTCAAGAAGAAGAACCACTTATACCCTCAGCTCTCCTCTGGTCAAACTCCTTCACACAAACGTCATTTTTCCACCTGCAGCTGTGTTCTTCATCACTAACAGACTACGGATCTGGAGAGACCAGATCTGAATACGAACCAAAGCTGGATTTACACAGTGGACTCAAGGTGTGGATGGACCTGCATCTGAGAAAGGACCTGTTCCAAACTGTATAAACTGTCTTTCTATTGCACATTGTAGTGAATGTACTTCTCGTCAACAATCGGTGTCTCTTTCCCCAATTTGATTTTTTTTTTCACCAGAAAGTTCCATTACATTTGTTATATTTGTATCGATTTGTTTATTTGGATGAGACAGTGCTTATTCATGATTATAATTCAGGATTTTGTGCTAAACTGTAGTTTTTTCCTTTGTTAAAGGGACAGTGTTTGATATGCAGTCTTAGTGGTCAAATAAAGTCATTACAGCTACAATCACTTATACTTCCCAAAACACATGTAGCACTGAATACTGATGCAATCTACCTGCTGGGGTTGAGCTAGAAATGGTATAAACGGTGTAGTACTAATGACTACCCGTCTTTGTACCTGCTTTCATTCAAACACATTCATGGTACTATTTTTTGGTTGTGAAAATTATTTAAATATTTTTTTTATTTAAATATAGACAAGACCAGTTAAATTTCACCAAACAAACTAGCAACCCAAATGAGAAATTCCCATCTCTGATTGGATAATCTGATAAACACATATATTGTGGATGTCATGTCCTTTGTATTTTTTATTAAATATTGAATGTTTGTTCAGAAAAGGTCACATGTGATTTGTACATGTCACCTGTTATCTAGGGACACATAAAAGGTGTAGATGTACTTTAAAATGAAAATATTACATACTGTCCCTTTTAGTTTCATTTATTTTATTTTGAGTAATTCTATGTATTATTTCTGAAGATGTTTCTGACTTTTTTTTAAGCCAAAAACACCTAATGCTCAATTCATGCTTATATTTTCAAACCAGTGGATGTCATACAAACATAAGTCAAAAAACCTTCAAGAAAAATAACCTCAGAAGATAAATTCAAGCTTCTTGCAGTGGTTCTCAATCTGTTCAGTCATGGCTTCCCAAAACGTGGACAAAATCATCTTGCACCTCCCATGCTGAATACAATTTGAAGCAGTAATAAACGATTTAAAGGATGATAAAAAAAACATTATCTATATAAATCATGTATTTTGTTATTTGACTTAAAGTTACTTAAAATATTACAATTTATGCCAAATTATTGGTGAATTTTTTTTAGGAATTCTGTCATTTCATCCCTCGCCCCCACCCCACATTTTTGTAAATCCTTCCAATGATGCTGATAAGTGATGACCCCAAACCCTGCACTTCTGGGTAATTCTCTGCTAAATGTCTGCTGAAAGCTTGGGTATCTAACTTTTTTCTTCAATTAATAATTTATGTTGATTGCCCAACAGAAAGAGTCTTGTAAAAGTAAAGTTGTATGAAAAAAAATCAGACCACAAAACCCAGTCTTCATCTTATCATCATTTGTTTTATCTTTTGCGTACTTGTATATATTAGCTCGAGCTTTAGTCATGATTTCGGATTGGCTGAGTTTGGTGGTCCTCTTTGATGTGACAGAGGCCAAGCTAGTGATAGGCTTTTATTACATGCATATTTTGTTGTGTTTTAAAAGTTAGGTACCCCAGCTTTACGTCTGTCTTTTTTAGAGTAACTAATCATATAATTGTTTCATCTTATTGAATAAAACGGAGCAGAAAAGGTGTCAAGTTTCAAGGTAAAACAATTGCGTTGCTACAACTTTAAACCCACAAGTGAGAAATGGTCATACTTATCAGCTCCATAACATTGTGCAGAGTGGAAAAGGCCAGTAAAATACCACCTGAAATATCCTCGGCTTCTTTTTTATAAACAAATACGTATATACAAATGTTGTTTTTTCTGCGAGCCCAGTTTTTGTAGAGTGGATGATGGCTAATACATGAACTTTTTCATTTCAGAACATATATAATGTATCCACCTCTTTCTTTGTCTGTGGTCTACAACAGACTGATTACAACTGTGTCTGGATATTAACTGAATAAAAATATAATAAGCCCAATTGGGGAATGAATTATGTTTTACAGGGACACATCACCAAGTAATACACCTTGTAAATAATGCTTTCAATTTACCTTTTCACAGCATTAACAGAGGGGGCAGTACCAGTGGAGAAAGTAAGAAATAAATACTATTTCTTTAAACTGAATCATATTAATCCTGTTTGTTTGTCTTTAAGTAACAGTGCTCTTTCTAGAGTCATATATTTTGTAATTGCACGACACAGTTATGCAAGCACTATAAGTTAAATGTAGTTGGTAAGCAAGCTAAAATGTTTTAATCTTCTTCTTTTTTTTTTTTTACAGATGATATTGTTTATTCTCATGTTGGTCTGTCGTTAAGGTTAATTTTCCTCATTTGACCCAAAGCCACTAGGGCAACCTGTCAGGACTAGTGGTTGCTACAGTACTGCACCCAGTTGTTGAGCTGGATCTAGAAATTATTTACTTATGGTGCTTGGTAGAGGAAACCGGAGTGCCTGGAGGAAACCACACAAAACTCCACACAGACAGGCCAGCATAGGATCGAACTCGCAACCTTCTTGCTGTGACACTCTGGTCTCTCTCTGGTGTCTCTGGTCTCTCTCTCTGTTCTGTCTGATAACCAAACTTTGATCATGTCCATGTAGACCATTTTTAAGTTTGGTTTTACTTTTCTTCTTTGGATGACACATATTCAGAGAAAAGGGAGGAGAAAATCCAGCTCTTACTAATCTGCAGTTCCAAGTCAGTGGCATTTTTTAATCTCCAAGTAAACACCTTACCGTACCTGTATTTTATGACCTATAATATTGACTGTTAAATATCAAATTAATATCCTAGATTTTCTCTTTGTTTGTTTCATTGTTTGTTAGTTTGTTTTTATGGCTCGTAACTATACATAGTTCCCACAGACCAATGAATGTCACATGACCTCCTCGGAGACGCCATCTTTGATGGCACGCTGCTGTGTTTGTGCATTCCATTAAACAGAAGAATGAGAATAAATGCAGATATTCAAACGCAAATTGGAAAAAAAGGGCAACTTTTGAGCAAATAATTGTATATTAATACAATGGCACCACAGTTTAACGTGCTACGGACATGTTTTACATATTTGATCAAATTATGCAGCAAAAATTAACAAGCAATGCAAACATTTCTCAAAAACTTTAGATTTAATACCAGTTGGAGCTCCATTTAATTATTTTAATTATATTAACAATTCATTTAATTAATGCTAATGCCACACGGACACTCTGGATTGCTGTTATTGTTTATTTCCGCGTTTTTGACCGTATGTTTTGGTGAATGGTGGGCAACTGATTTTTCCAGGCGTAAAGAGCAGTTTATTTTATGACACAGATCTTTTTACAGAAGCAATGCTGTTTGTGAACATTGTTTTAGCCCACCATAGAACTATTATTATCTATTTAATACATTTACGTTGCCCTCGAGAGCCTCGGACGCGACACCGATCCTCCTCATAATAAAGTAATCTAAATAATGAAACTCTCAAGTTACCAGATATCAGCATACACAAGTTAGTACTGAGTAAATTACGTCTGTCAACACATAAGATACGATAAGCACCTGACACAAAGTGCTCCGAGCATATTCTTGCGTGTTTTGAGGGAGTTTCTTGCCTGTTTATCTTCGCAAGCCATAACCTCCGTCGTTGTTCTGACAAAAGCTTAGTCTTCTCACATTCATGAAGTCTAATGATGGGTATACTGTAAAATCCAAGTTTAACGGAACCTCCGGCACGATTAGAACATCCATTGACCCAGCAGGAGATGACCATTTTCAACTTTATCACACGTTTCAGCTTCTTCTTCTATTGTTTTGCCCACAGAATGCCAGCACAAATGGCGCCGGGTCGGCAAATCCCCGTATGTAGTGACGTCATGTGGGAACTATGTATACAGTCAGATAGCAAAGGCAGGCGTCCCTTGGCAACCGTTGCTAGGTTTCTGCAAACTCCAGGCTAAAAGCTTACAGGTAGCTAGGAACAAACTGCACTTGTTGCACAAACCTCTGTGCGGGTTCCTCTGTGTTCTGGTGTGGTACAGACACAAACAGGTTTGTGACACGGATGCAGGAGAGCGGGAGATGGCCGCACAGTCCGCTGTTTTCACCGCTGACAAAGACACGCTGTTCTCCCAACACACTCCCACACAGACGCACGCTCTGGTGAGTGCTAATAACGCTAGCTAACAACTTCACACATGATATGTCAACTGTGATGAATTCAGGTCAAAGCATAAGGAAATATGCTATTTGTAAGATTATTTACATATTATTGTTGTATAAAATTGTATTTAAATCTTAAACTGGAGAACTATACAACGTTATTTTAAATGAATTATATGGCTGCAATAATTATCCACTGCATATGGTGTGATTTGATGTGAGTGGATTCATATTCACTTTTTTCCTATAAAAAAAACCACACAAAAACAAAACATTATTATCCTATGAATTAGAATCATACCCCGAAGAGCTGTCGTTTTAGTTTAGTATTTACTAACCAAACTTTACAAACTGTAAAATACTCTGCAATTGTCACATCCATTTTTTTTTTTTGAGGGTTTGGTGTAATGTAAAAACTTCAAAAATTTCTTTGTGGTGAAATGTGCCCTTACCTTCTTGTCAGACTCTAGAATGGGTGTATGGGCAGACTCCCAGCCTCCCTGTGCTGATGCTCCAGGACGATGAGCAGCAGGTGTTGTTGTATGCTGCAGCCAACGTGGGGGTCATCTACAACCACAACACCAACTCTCAGCACTTACTGCAGGTGAGTTGACCAGGGATGCACTATACATGCATTCATGTTATATTACCAAGTTAAACATGTATTGATCTGCTGAGTGCAGGTGGCGGCACGGTGGCTGAGTGGATAGCACTCTTGCCTCTCAGCAAAGAAGGTCTTGGGTTTGAATCCTGGTTGGACCAGGGCCTTTCTGAGTGGAGTTTGCATGTTTTCCCCGTGTCTGTGTAGGTTTCCTTCGGGTACTCCAGTTTCTCCTACCACTAAAGAAACATGTACAATAGGTCTGGCATGCGCCTCCTGTACTGGTGACCCCGTTCACATCCCTGTGTGGAGTGAGAGGACAAATGCCCAAAAATAATAACGATTGTAAACCGCTTTGTGACTCTGGTCTGTGAAAGGTGGTATATAAATAAAGATTACTTACTTGTGAGTTTTGCTAGGGATTCTTGTCTCTTAAAGACTTAAGTACAGGACCATCCACCACATGAAATGATCACCCCTCTACCCTCTGGAGGGAGATACAGGTCACTCAGGTGCATAATGTATGTGTGTGTGTGTGTGTGTGTGTGTGTGTGTGTGTGTGTGTGTGTGTGTGTGTGTGTGTGTGTGTGTGTGTGTGGTTGTGTCATTGTCTTTTATGTCATTTATGTGTTTTGTTGTAGGGTATTGTGGGTTTTGATTCTTTTTTGTGTTTGAATGGCTGGGAGGGGATTGGATTCAAATAAACTTTTTTACTCCGACCAGTCCCTTTTTAAACCATGCAAAGATCTTGTTTACTCTTATCATATTGTTTTTCCTGTGAAATGTTTTGAATATTTATTTATTATTCTTATGTTTGAAAGAAATAAACAAATGAATGAATGACTGATTCAAGACATGTTTGGTCCGTCAGAGAGATAAAAGGCCGTCCCCACTGACTCACTGAGAGCGCTTTGAATATGTCACATGAGCTCTATGTCTGTGAAAAAAGTACACAGTCAAATTCAGTACTACGTGTGTGTATTTCTGTGATTGCTTCCAGGGTCACAGTCAGAACGTGTGCAGCCTGTGTGTGAGTGAGGACCGACGGTGGGTGGCCACAGCTGACACCAGCCCCATGGTCCTCGTGTGGGACTCCTACTCTGGGTAGGACCTCAAAACACATGTTCCATGTCCGAAAGTCAATACATGTCAACAATATTATAAATACTTCTTTCATCAAACCATTTTGTGTACTTGGTTTTAAGTGCATACCTCTTTACTGAGAACTGATTATATATTTCGGGATCTATATGAAACCTGTGTCCAACTCAGGATCCCGGTGTGCACGCTGAACGACTGTCACCCCAAACACGGCTTCATATACATGGCCTTCTCCAGAGACACAAAGTACCTGGTCACTCTGGGAGCCGGACACATTCAGGTGACAACACACATTATCATAACGATCCCTCCTCCCCGTTCGGTCTACTTTGTTAGAATTGCCAATATTGTATTCAGGATATGTGCATGTTCAAAAGACCTAAATATGATATATTTTGACTATATATAAGAAATTTACTGTACTCCATGAAGCAAAGTAATTTAGGGATGGCAACAACCTAACAACTGAAGAGCCAATCAGGAACTGTGCTAGTCTGTCCTTCATTTTGAAATTAACTTTATCAAAATATACGTAAACATATGGAGGAAAACTGAGCTCCTGAGCACTTACCATACACTTGTTGTGTCCGACAGCATGTGTGTGTGTGGGACTGGACCTGCGACAAACAGACTCCTCTCTGCTGCGTGGACCTCAACCCAAACCACGGCCTTCAGGTCTGACTTTCACTTTCACTCCTTGCTTTTGTCATAAGTAACCCCGTTTCAAAATAAAAACTAAAAGTACAGTTATTACTGTTCTCTACTTTTTTTATGGAAAAGTAAAACCACTGTTCACAGTAATAAAAATGCGTCAGAAAACGTCTATCACGTTCAGCGTTCCAACATGGCAAAAACAAAACAGCAGACCAAGAAAATCAGCATTTAAATTTCAAGATGTTAAAATCGTTCTGAAATGCTTGTTTTTCTTTTACTCACTCTTGTTTTAACTATTAAAGTAAATTGTAAAAACAAATTTAAACTCTGTGTCTGAACAAGCTGATCTGCTGATGTAACAGAAGCCAAAAGAATACATGCATGTGAAATCTAGTGATAGAACCAAACTGTATTTATAGGTGGGAACTTATATAGATTTCTTTACATAGATACATTTTAAACGTACCCCAGCTTTAATTTCCCCCAGCTGTAAACATGCTGTGTTTCTTTTCAGACAGAAATCATGTTCAACTCCAGCAGCAGTGAACTCCTGAGCTGCAGTCAGACGCACGTCCTGGTCTACACACTGGTCAGCTCACATCTAATTAAAATGACCAAATTGTGTTAAAATGAGTTTAGTGGGTTTTAAAATATTTATTTTTCAATCATTGTAACAATTATTGGGTACTTGGCTTTTGATTTATTCATTTTTAACAATATACCGGTACATTTTGACCTCCATTATAATACCATAGCAATATTAGGAACCTCTGTATTTCTTTGTTTTAGGAACAGAAACCTCTGTCCATCTCTGCCTTGAGGCTCAGAAAGGTACGTTCTGTGCTATTTTGGGGATGATAAGTCTAGAAAGTGACCAATTATGTTACATATTTACAGTATATTACTGTACTTCAACTCTAGGGCGGAGCCGTGGACCCCGACTTCCCCAGCGACTGTCAGGGCAAGTGGGCAGCAGATGGCGCTCTGGTGCAGACAGTGTTCCACTGGAGCCAGCCGTACGTCCTCACGGCCACAGCAGGGGGCAGTGTGGTCGTGTGGAACCGCAGCCAAGAAGTGACCCACAAAAGCCCTTTTTCTGCGATCCAACTGCAGGAGACGCCCTTCACTGCTATGTGTGTGAGCGACAGGTAACCACATCCCTGCTGAAAACAGGACTGAGAAGTTGTGAGTACATCACCCCTGTCCTGGCCTCACTTCACTGGCTCCCTCTCACGTTCAGTGTTGATTTTAAGATTCTGATGCTTGTTTTTAATTGTTTATATGGTTTAGCCCCTGCATATCTGTCAGAGCTGTTATCTCCGTATGCCCCTGTCAGATCAGTGAGGTCTGAAAACCAGCTTTGTGCCCAGGTCTAGTCTTCTAGTCTAACTAGAGGAGACCGGGCCTTTTCTGTTGCTGCTCCCAAACTGTGCAATAGTCTTCATTGGAGGTTTTTAAATCTAGTCTAAAGACACATTAGTACGCCTTGGTTTTTAACACCAACTGAGTTTTACCATTTTACTGTATGTATTGTATTCTGTTTTCCTTTTACTTTTTATCTTTCGTGCAGCTGGTGTTGCTGTAAATGTGCTATACAAATAAAGCTGACATTGACATTGACATTATGACAACAGCAGTCGTTTTGGTGGACTTTACAAAGTTGTTGATTCCACAACAATAGATCAGAGAAAAAAATCAATCCAATAGCAACAAACACATAAGAGTCATTGTTCCATAAGACACATTGGAGCGGAATGACCAATGTCCATAAATGTTTTTAGATGTCCTTAAATGTCCCAGATCATCACTGTCCCAGACCCTTCTTGTATCAGTAAAGAACAACTCAAAGAGGGCTATAGATTCTGTTGCTGTGGCAGTTGTCAAGGCCATCTATCGCCTTGTTTGAAACAAAATGATTGTTACCCAGGGGCCAAGGGGTAGATTTGGACAATTATGGTCCTCTGTGTTTCTAGTGCAATACAAATCACCTATGTCTGTAAACATTTCTGTATATTTCCCTTAAAAATGTATTCAGAAAACTCAAACATCCACAAATTCCATTTCCTAGATTATAATGTAATGTAACACTTATGGAAAGAGGACTGAAAATCTGTAATAAATCGTCCCACATTATTGCCACTCACATTACGGAATAGTAGGAGTCAAACTAAATAAATGAAGTTAAGAAGAATACATTACATAAGTATGAAGCTGAACATTACCATATGTGTCTTAACATGTTTTCCCTGCAGCTGTTTGGTGACTGGAGATGCAGAGGGGATGGTGAAGTTCTATGGAGAGGGCTTCGAATTATTAGCCTGTTTCATGGACCTGAACCTGGGGCCTATCTCGTCCATCACATTCCCCGCTGAGTCCACGGCGGGCTTCTTTCTGGACTATCACATGGACAGTACACAGGTGTTCATCAGGTCTGTGTGTGGGGGGAGGGGGTTCCAGGCATATTTGAGGTCCCTCTTCCCATATTTGCTTTGCTTTATGGCACATTTTCAAAGCACAATCGCTTGACAATATAAACATTGAATCCTGATACAATCAACTAAAACACAAAAAATGGGCTCCCCGGGTGATGTACTATGGCAATCACTGCCACAGTGGCCTGAGAGGAAATGAAGAATGGGTCAAATGCCGAGGACTAATGGCTCTATGGAGACTCTAAATTATATCTTCATATAAATGTGATATATGATCTGCATATCACATTTTTAGGAAGACCTTACCAGATTGCAATTGCTGGTTCATATGGCACTTACTTGGTGCTCAAAGAGACTAGTGCACAAGCAGAGATGTTATGTATTTGCTATAAAAGTATAAAAGTGCTCTTACTACTGTCCTGTATGTCCGCTGCAACACCAATATTTTCCCTCCGTGGTAAAAATAAAAGTTTTCTCATCTTATCTTATAAGTTCTTCCCATTGACACCAATAGATGGCGGTAGATTCACTTGTTAACAAATGTGTTTAAAGTAGTTAATAAGAATTTCCCATCTTCAGAAACTTCATGGTGTCAGATGCAGATTGTGTGCTTCACGTCACCACGAAGACAGAGGTGTCTCAGATCTTGTTGAAGAAGGAGCCAAAGGCCATGCGGGCGCTGTGCTGCCACCCTTCACTCCCCCTGTTGGTGACTGGGAGCAACGGCGGCATTCTCAAACTCAGGGACGCCACGAGCAAACTCACCGTGAAGCAGAGGGACTTCAGACCAGAGGAGCAGATCACCTGTGTCACCTACGATCCCACAGGTCAGACTGGACAGTTATTGATACAGCCACAACCCCTTGAGATTGATTGATTGATTGTATTTTATTTCAAGCTTATAAACAGGAATCAATTTTAGATTTAACTGCAATTACATATAAGAAATGCACATGATATAAATGTACATACATACATGTATGGAGATGCATGGAATCCTTTTATAATAGATATAATTATTCTAAACTTGATTTACTTGTCACGATTTACTGGTCGAGCTACAAGCTTCCTCCACAGAGTGGCCTGGCGCTACCTTAGAGATAGGGTGAGGAGCTCAGTCACATGAGAGGAGCTCAGAGTAGAGCCGCTGCTTCTCCAACAACAAGTTGAGGTGCCTCTTGAGACCTATACTATATAATTTCACCTATCTCCTGAGTCTTATCTATTATATAAATATTAGGATTAGGTCTATTTATCCCTACAGTTTAGTCCTTTACTGCCCTATTGTGTGAAACAAAGGCATCTGGTATTGTCTCCTCAGGGGCTCTCCTGGCTGTGGGCTTTTACTCTGGCTCCGTTCACCTCCTGGACTCCAGCTCTTTGAAGAGTGACCCGGAGGACGGCTTCACTCTCACTAAAGACTCCATAAACCTGCTCAGCTTCTCTGACGACTCGCTGTACCTCGCTGCGGCAGTAAGTCTGAGCATTCAACTTCCCACTGGCCATAAACAGAGCTGGACTCACTTATTGATCAAGTCCTGGCTCAGTCTTGCTTAAAGAAGATATACTCTGCTCTGTAAATGGTATTTTGTATTCATCGTACTTACAACTTAGATTGTAAGTACGATGTTCAGTATTGTGTTCTATAAATGACACAATACTGAACCAAAAAAGGCTTAGTCACCTGGAAAATGTCCCTTTTGCTTGCTTCAGTCATGGTCCAGTCCTGCTTCAGTTCTGGTCAGTCCTGGTCCAGTCTTGGTCCAGTCCTGCTTCACTCATATTTCAGATCTGGTACAGTCCTGATTCTGTCCTGGTTCAGACCTGGTTTATGTGTTTTCCAGGACAGTGGATTTGCTGTGACCGTGTTGCGGCGTCTGTCTCATGGAGCTCCGTGGGAGAGTTTGGGGCGACATCGCTCTCACTTCAGCCCCATCCAGAGCCTCCTGTTTGGGCTGCAGCTGGACACCACACAGCCTCGTCTGCTCTCTCTGGGACTAGACCGAAGACTGGTGAGTGTGTCTCTTTTCTCAGAAACCAGAACTATACTGAAGAAGATGACATAGTCTGGGATCGCGTCTTTCATTCAGACAGAAGACATGTTTTATTGTCGATGGGAGAGACAGCACGAACAACAGATACAACAGAATGCAAGTGTATTATACAGAGCGGAGGCATGGAGACCTCCAATCAGCAGCTGCCACGGTGCCATGTGGCTTGGCCTTCAGATAGACAAAACAAGGGAAAAGTACTGGCTTCTGCACATTGATAGAATGATGAGTTTAACTTTAAAAAAAGTTGCTTAAAAGTGTTATGAAATCTCACATTCCCCCCTCTGGTCACACATTCACGTGTGACCATCAGGATCGATAAACAGCAACATAACATCATAACTCAATACTTAAACTCGGTACTTCACTCGAAATACTTCAAAAACTCAGAAAACTCATAAAACATGTTCAGATCTTTCATAAAACTTGTCAACAATCTTCAGTAAAATACCAAACTTCATCAGTCGATGGTGGTTCCAGATATTGCTTTGAAAACAGTCTCTCCCACTTATCCGTGTTGGTTTCTTCAGGCTGCATTTGTGTCGAGCCATGAATTCTTCTGTGACGTGTCTTTCAATCACACGTTTCAGCTTTAGTGTCCAGATTCAGCAATCCAATTCAGTCCAAATTATGTCCAAATTCAGAAATCCAATTGTTCCAAATGATGTCCATGCAAAAGAGGACGATGGTGTTGTCCATGTCTCAGCAGCTCACAGCCTGACTGGAATCAGGGGCTGTGCAGATTGTCCATGGGCTGGTCCAGACGCATGGTTTCTCTTGAGGTTTCTCAGTTTTGGCTTGAAAAAAAACAAAACACTTTTTGTGTAAAAAAAAGTAGTCTTCTGTTCTGTAGATGTTACAGACAATGCCCGCATCCTTCCACCACCTGAAGAAGATGACATAGTCTGGGATCGCGTCTTTCATTCAGACAGAAGACATGTTTTATTGTCGATGGTAGAGACAGCACGAACAACAGATACAACAGAATGCAAGTGTATTATACAGAGCGGAGGCATGGAGTCCTCCAATCAGCAGCTTCCACGGTGCCATGTGGCTTGGCCTTCAGATAGACAAAACAAGGGAAAAGTACTGGCTTCTGCACATTGATAGAATGATGAGTTTAACTTTAACAAAAGTTGCTTAAAAGTGTTATGAAATCTCACAATACATTATGTTACATTACTCATCTTACCAACATTATTTCTACTGAATGCCACAATAATGAGAGGTATTTCTGAATACTGCTATTATTACTATTGTTTACTTGTATTCTCTGCTGCTAAAGTACAATACAAACATCTTTAAATACCTCCTGCTGACTACAGTGTGTACTCTACTCCACTAGTGTACTATCATGGAAGTGCAATTATAGCTCCAGAGTTTATTTATTTAATTATCTTAATAGTTTAGTGTTTAATTAAATTGTATTATCTATTAACTTAAATAATATATCCTGTTTGAAGTTCGCAATCTGTGTGCTCTTATTTCCTACTTTTTACTCTGCTGAAATGTGCACAAACGATGACATCGAAATTTCCTCACTGTGGGATGAATAAAGGTCTATCTTATCTTATCTTATTATTTTCAAAAAAGTCAGTCATTTCATTTCTGACAGTGATAAATAATCCAACATATTTTTACAAAGTGTTCAGTAGGTGCAAGGTGTAAACTTCTGGTTTCCATTGTACAGTACATACAAAGTCAAGTTTGTCCTTCGCCTCCAAGTAATTTTTGTTTGTACATTTTTTGTAAATTTGTTTTATGTGTTTTTTGTGTCTTAGTGAGTTGAGAATATCAAACTTGGCTATCAGAAACTAGGTACATCGACAATAATTAGTAAGGCAATGGAAGTGTCATGGTGTGGACTTTTTTGATTATTTTGATCTGGTTTTATTGTAGTTTGAGTTGACTTCCTGTCTCCTGTTTTTTCACCTCTGTCTCCTGCCTTTTAGGATCCTTCCTTCATTTAACCACATGACAGAAGACAGCTTTCACAAACAAATGAAAGAAACCAAACCTTATTATCTTTAAATGTTATTCTTTGTAGGAATGTGGATAGTAATGTGGGCTGTGGGACTGTGGTTGTCTGCAGGTGGAGTACGACCTGAAGCGCAGCAGTGGCCCCGCCCTCTCGGTTCTGTCCACGGTGCGGGTGGAGCAGGCGGCTGTCCCCCTCTGTATGACCTGGTATCCTTCTCTGAGCAGCGAGCAGTTCCTCCTGCTCTGCTCCGACCATTACAAGATCCGACTCATCAACAGCACCACACTCATGAGCAGGTCAGCACGTCGGCTTTCAGGGGTGGTGGAGCAAGGAACTATGGGTTTTGATGTCTGACAGCAACACGGGAGGAATCATATAACATAACACCATCCAATTCAATCATATCCACCTTAATTATCTAGCTCATTTTATAAAACATGTTTCCAAAGTGCTGCACACATTAAAATATACAAGTCTGCCAGCTTTAAATTACAATAAAATAAAAACAATACAAATATAAAAATAAAAACATTTATCTATATACATAAATAAACATCAAACAATAAAATAGAGGACCACACAACTCACGCGGTGTTAAAAGCCAGAGAGTAAAAGTGGGTTTTAGCACGAGACTTAAAACATTCCAATGACACACCAAAAGAAGAATAGAACAGTATTTTTTTAAACAACTCAAAATCAATAGCAATGGAATGAAGAAGATAAAGGCATTTTTTTGTTTTTTGTGTTGTTTCTCAAACATACAGGAGGGTCAAAGGACAGGGACAATCCTTAACATTTAAATACATTTATAAACATTAATGGACCAATTGCTCCTATGTGTTTGTTGTCATTGCATGTCTTGTGTTCCATATGTTTGTTTCTCTGGACTGTTCTCAGAATTGAGAGAAAGTCCTCCAAGACAACTGCTATTGTGATTTTGCTGTTCTGATCTTTTAGGAGAGTGATCCGAGGCCCGATCTATGGCTCTCCACTGCAGAGAGTACTGGTTCTGCCAAAAGTCAAAGAGGACCAGAGCAAAAACTACCACATGGCCTTCACCGCACAGGACAAGGTAATGACTAGGATTTTTCTCTCATGAGGAGCACAGGTACAAATACACACAGGGGAAACACATTAAGGCAGGGCAGACAACCAACACTGGTGAACAGGAAGTTAAACTAAAACAAAACCACAGAACTGAAGTCAAAATACAAAGTACCACAATAGAATCCATCATGACACTTTCCTGTTCACATCCCTGGTTGTGGATGTTGAAGGTGGGTCTGCAGGTGCTCCCGGCGGATGGAAACCCATTTAAGTCCCACGCTCTGATCTGTCACCCGTCCGGAACGTCATCTCTGAGCGCCTCCTTCGACGGCGGCCATGTTATGACGGCGGGAGCAGCAGACCATGCAGTCATGAGCTGGATCGTGAACACACAGTACGTTACACAGACTGGTGCATGTGTGAGTTATGTCTGTGGATCCCGCAGTGCAATCGACATAGATAGATACTTTATTGATCCCTGTAGGGGTTCAGTTGTCTAGTAGCAGCAGAAACACATCCTTCCAAACAAACAAAACAAATAAATACTAAAAGTATCTGTAAAGTCTGCATAATTGGATACTAGCTAAATTTTGAGCTGTCCCGGAGGTCTGTCCAAATCTCTCTAAATCAAATTTTCTTTGTTTTGTCTTTGTCACGTCTTTGTCATGTCTTATGTTGTAGAAAACAGGTTAGCTGTGTGGGTAACCAGTCCCTATAGGAAAAAGGAACCCCTTGACGTATCGGGGTCCCTGTCCTTTGAAGTAGTCAGGGCAGAGAAAGAGTAATTACAGGGTAGAGGCCCTTTTTTGAGTAATTACCGGGGTAGAGGCCCCTTGAGAAGAGAAAAAGAGTAATTACAGGGTAGAGGCCCTTTTTTGAGTAATTACCGGGGTAGAGGCCCCTTGCTAGCCAGAAAAAAGTGTTGGATCCAAAAGTGTAAAATTAAAAGTAATTATAAAAAGGGAAACGTGTTAAGGAGGCCTTTGTTACAAAAGCTTTGAAATTGACGAATTTCAGGCTGATAAATGACAAAAGTAAAGAAGCAACAATATTTCAGTGATCACGGTTTAAATTACATACAGAAAAAGGGAGTTTTTGTTTTTTGGCGTGAACTGAGTTCACCGGAGAATGCAGAGTTTTATCTAAAGTTGAGCTATGAGAGCTTTCGTGAGTTATTTACATTTTTTGCCGAGTTTTATCTACAGTTGAGCTATGAGAGGGTTGTATCCAACAGTTGTTTTTGTTTTTTAGAAAGAGATTTTAAGTTTAAATTAGTTTGCTACCTCGATAAAATAGAAGCGTAAACGTTAAAGACAAGAGTGCCTTTTGTTACTAGTGTGGAAAGTGATCACTTCTAGATTTGGATGACAAAAGTATAAAGAACAACATAAGTTATATTTGCTTAACAAAGTAATCTTGAAAGTTATTCTTCTGTATCTTTTTGCCTGTGTGTGCACATCTCTATCTGCTGCCGTTGTCAGGGAAACGGCCCCCACCTTCGCTGCTCTGGCTCTGAATCAGAGCTACTGCTTTAGGATTTTTGGCTTTTCATAGTTGTTATTCCGTTAAATTTGCGAAATTTGCCATTGAACATTGTGTTAGACACAGTTAAACGTTTTTAAACACCATTTAGTAAAAAGAAGTTTTGAATTAGTATGTTTTTGAAACCCAAAGATTAGTACAAAAAGCTTTGCTTTTCTTTTTAAATCTGCTGCTTATTTGTGAGTCCATTATTGTATCTGATATTTCATAGCTGTTTGTGAGAATTTTTTTTTTTTTTTTTATGTTTTTATTTTAGTTACAAAAGCCGTTTTTCAAACATTTAAATTAGAATCTGAGTTAAAAGTGATTAATGATTGTAGACTTCGTCTAAAAAGAAAGAGGGAATTAGGAATAGAACAGGATAGCTGTAAAAGTATTATTAAGTTAAACTGTGACCCAATTTACAGTCTAAAAGCTGCGAGTTTTGTGAGTTTTGTTTTGTCTATAGCTCTGGCCTTGCAGCTGCTGCTCACTGCAGGGCGAGCAGAGTTTGATAGTGTCTTCCAATTCAAAATGTTTTTAAAAGTTTATTGAGTGCATTTGAAGAATGCAGCAATTATTTTAAATTAGAATATATGCTATAAATGTTCAAGTGTAAAAGGGAAATTCCATAAAGTGATTAATCCAGTTTAGTTAATCTTTTTGCTTTGACTTCATGTTTTCAAGTTTTGTTTTAAATGTTTTTACAAATTAATGTTCATTTTTATAGAGATTTTTCATAATTTCATTTCATGGCGTCTTTCAAGAAACCCAAGGACGCATAGATAATTAATCACACAGTGCAAAAGTACATATTACATATTTTAAAGTTTAAAGGTTTTAAGAGATTTGAGTCTTGTTTTTTATTAAGAGAGTTTCTGGTGTTAAAAATGTCATAATTAGTAAGATAATAAGTAATCTTTTATTTACATAGCGCTTGGGAAAACCCAGAGCGCTCCAAAATTGTTTTGACTTCAGAGAGAAAAACAATCTCATATATCTAACAATAGTAACAACATGCAAAACTGTGGAGGATACATCTGACAGTGGTGACCACCACAGATTTCTTCATAATGTTTAGTCCAGTCTCAGAGCGGATTCTGTGCAGAGCTCTGGAGGCTGCAGCGGCGCTGGGCGGCACCGGAACCGAGCCTTTCTACACACTGCTGGAGGGAGGACGAGACGGACACTTCTTCAAGGTCAGAAAAAGTAATTTCTATTTTTTTAATGATTCATGATTTACTCCTCTGACACAAAACACAATTAAGTTTCAACATACTGTAGTACTTTATTATTTTAAAGGGATATTATGAGTCAAAATAACTGAACCATTTTTCTCATGTTTAAGAAATCTCTGATGATCCTCATTTTAATTTGCTACAATTTTTTCTTTAATGTTAAGAAGCAGTCACAATTAATTTCTGTAAAATCATTGAATTATAATAATTATAATAATTTAAATATAAATATGTTTGTTGTTATTGTTGTTCTGATCAGGAGATGGAGAACTTGTTTTATTACATCCAGATCCAACCCCAGAGCAAAAACAGCCTCCAAAACTTTGAGGTCTCCACCAAGATCCCCCTGTCCGAGGTGCCCACCATGATGAGGGCCTTGGGGTTCTTCCCCTCAGAGCAGGAGGTACCACTCACAACAGTCCTGGCATATTCCTGTTTCATTCTGATCCTTTGATAACTCTCTGGAAATGTTTATGGTGGACATAAGGTGCTGATTTGACTTTAAGGCATAGTTTACCATCTATGCTTTAAGATCCGCATGAATAAAAAATAATGAAAGAACATAGACAGCAGCAAAGTGCAGTTGTGCTTTGAAGTCTCTGTTAAGATAAAAACAATTCCTTTTTCTGTTGGACATGTATCCAAGCTAGGTTATGTACCCCAGCTTTAAGCAATGTACACTCTATGCCACAGATAAGCCCTGGTGTGACCTGTGTTGGCTCCTTCTCAGATTGAGGACATGAAGAATGAGGTGAAGTTCAGCAGATACGCAGACACCAGGAGCTACGTGACGGAGCTGGACCTGGACGAGGTCATAAAGCTGTATGTGAACCACAGGCCGGTGTTCGGACTGATGCACGAGGAGCTGGAGGAGGCCTTCAACTGCCTCAAAGAAAACCAGGAGAGCATAGAGAGGAGCCACCTGCTGCAGCTGCTCCAGAGCCAAGGTCAGCCAATGGTGCATAAGTGTAGCTCCCATCTGACAATTGAATACACATATGAAGATGTATAAAATGCACTGTTTTGCCTTTTTTATTGATTGATGCCTGTATAATTTGTTTGGTTGTAGAGGATTTTTTTTGGCTATAGATGGGGCATCTTTTTTGTTTAGTATTTTCATTGCCATCTGCCATGAGTTGTCAGACCTTAATAATACAAATAAAGTCAATTATAAAAACAAAATGCAAAAAAATGCATTAGTTTTAAAGGAGATTATCATGAACATATAATAATATAATCATGTAATAATAAGTTGCTATCAGCTATCTTAGATACGCCCCCAAACCATGTGGATGTAAAAAGAGGACATTTAGGGACACTTAACATTTACAAGTTACATACATAACAGAATATATCATACCCCAAGGAGAGATGGCTTGAGAGAGAGAGGACCCTTGAAGGCTCTGGGCCTTGGCCTTAGTTCTGCCTGCTTCATCATGTGTTTATGTCGTTTCACAAGACAGAGAGCTTCAACAGTGATCCTAGTTAGTTTATACCTGGAATAGCATCACGGCTAAGGTCATCCTTGATTGGTCCAGGGGTCAGTCAGCAGACAATGGTTATTTCAGTTAAACACAGTCTAACAGTCTAACAGACCTTAGTTTGGACACCACCGTTTCAAAGGCTTGTTTATGGTCTAGAATTAAACAAGGAGGCTTCTTTCCGCTCTCTCCATTGTTCTGGAATTAGGTTTTCAGTATCTGAGCTGTGTTTTCAGGGGAGGCCATGACGGAGGACGAGGTTCTGCAGAGCTTCTCTTCTCTCCTGAACCTGAGCGAAGACCCAGACTGCTCCAAACGCAGCAGTGAGACTTTACTCTATTACTTAAACTTAATATACATTTTGATAATCGTAATCATAAACTTTCAGACCCTATAATAAAGAACAAAACACACTTAGACTTTACACCAGGGGGTCTAACTGGTTCCAAAAATGGCCAGTATTTCTGCGGGTTTTCAATCCAACCAAGCAGGAGCATGCCAGACTCCCCCCATTGGTTGGAATTAAATCCTCTCGACACGCCTGCGCTTTGAGGACCTGTTTGACATTCCTGCTTAAGACTGTGCTCAGCTGCGGATTTTTCATATTTATTATTTAAATGTATGTTATCCCTCATGTCCGCAGGAGATTGTGTAATATTCTGATGTTAATACCAATATATTATCACAATACCTTAAATGTGTTTTATTTGACAGACAATACATAGTCTACAGATTCCAAATTGTTACTGTTGTTTTTTATTGTTTGTATAAAGCTGTGAATTATGATCTTCACATAAACCTTTCCCTGTTTTTCCAGAGAGTTCCATTCCTGCTGAGTTGTCTTTGGAGACTTTGGCTCAGATACTCGGAATAGTTACGACGTCGGATCAACAATCTCCAAAGCATTGAATCACTGCAGAAGCCGTACCCACTGTGCGTCTGACGGTGTTTAATATTGTTTTTGGTTTTTTTTGACATTTCTAGAATCTTATCACAAAAGCCAGTTATACAAGCAATAAAGAAGTGGAAGATCTGTCCCATCAGAAATTGTATTGACTTCTGCTTCAGGCTGTGACAATCGTTTTGCATATTTTGTATTGTGGCTTTGATGAGCTTTTTATGACGATACTTGGACATACTGGTTGCCTCGCTCTGTCAGTGTGCCCCAGGGCAGCTGTGGCTACAGTCGTTTATCACTACTGTGTATGGAGTGAATGAATAATGATTTGAAGCGTCTTTGAGTGTTATTATTATTATTATTGTATATCTTTCATTTTTTGGATTCCGGATTTTAACTTAATAATTCAACTTGAGAGAAAAGTGTATAAAGGCTTGGATTGCTTGTTGTTCAAACTTCTTGAAATAAGAAAATCACTTTTTTCAAGCAAAACAAGCAACTTACTGCTCAGACTTTTTTTCTCTAAGAAGATTATAAAGTATTATTTTCTTTTAACTAGTAAAATTATATCACGTAACAAACTAAATTAAAGGAAAAAAAATGTTTTTAGTAAACAAATACTACAAAGATGTTTTATTTCTCAGTGTACAAATAAGTTTAAAACAACATTCTATTTTAGACTTATTTTAAAACAGTAAAAATGTGTTACAGCCAATTTACTTTTTTGTTCTTTTATCTTGTTGGTCTGATTATTGTCCTTGTGAGAGTGAGACCTCAGCACTTTGTTAATAATCTGGAGAAACTTTGGTGCGGACTCAGAAGTGGCGACACGTTTAGTTGCAGATCGGATCGGGCTGTGGGTGCATTTGTCTGGGACCTGCATCTTGGAGCCATCACAATGTAATACGCTCTGCACGCGCTCAGTAGAGATAAGGGGACAACATGGAACTTTTCATATCAGCAGCAGAGGAGGAGGGGGCGAGGGGCCGGAATCACACAATCAAGATACATCCACACACTGGAAACTCAGTAAACACAAAGACTTTAATCCTGGACCTGGATAATGGCCTACGATACGGTTACTATTACTACCACCAATAAAAGTGACAATAATATACTCCATTATGTTCTTTCTATAACAGGGGTGGCCAATCTTTTCATCGAGGAACCAAGCGGAGGGCCCCAGAGAGATGGAAAATCCTGTGAACCATTTGAAAAGTTTTTCATAAACCAGTTTTATAAAATCAATTACGATTATCTTGGTGTTATAATATCCTTATAACCAAAGCTTTACATGTATAGTTTTAGTTTTATCACATGAAAAAGCTAGTTTATTTTAAATCCTTGAAACACGTTGGTTCCTGAGTATCTGGTGACACATTTCCTTCATTTATGTTAACTACGAATGAAGAGTCTTACAATTTGAAGAGGTGCAATTTAGTTCGATTATTGATGCAGGATCCACGATAACGATTCCTAACAATAACGTTTTATTTTGTTATTCTCCTTTTAGTTCAATAATGTACTATTACATTAAAATTACACTTAAAAACATGTTCCCTACGTGTGCGTTTTTGTATTTAGATATTGGAATATATATTGTATAAAGTCATATTCAATTCAAATTAACTTTATTACATACTCTAGATCCAAACATACAGACAGATACGACAAAAAATAACAAACAAACAGTCATTACTTTAAAAGACAGCCATACCCGTGTGTCCACATCTTGGCCTGAACTTGTCCAATAATACAATACATAAAATAAAACACATACAATAACATCATGATGACATACAATTCAAAGGAAGGTTCAATATTAACAAAAGAAACCCACTAATTTGTATATCATAGTAGGCTTTGATATACCAGGCCTTGTACTCCCCGCCACCACCAGAGGCGCCTTCTTTTCATGTCCTGACGTCATTTCCGCCTCCAAAAACAAGATGGAAGGCGCCAAAACAGTGAATTCGCCAGTGCCAACGGCAGCTGCTCTTTTTCTAAACAAACTCTGAATTAAACACACAAAGTATCACGGCTTTTCTCCGCCTTTCCCCGGGACATCACCCCCACACTGTAAACAGAACTTTCACCGTGTTTTCCTGTGGAACTGTACACATGAGTTGAAGAATGGGCTCGAAAAGTGAGCAGCTTCTGATTGTCGTGTCCATTTTAGAGGGTGAGTGATGCTTTGAGATCAATACAACTAACTATAGGGCCTATAAAGTGTTTTTGTACTTTTTCAACAGTGAACGGAGTTATTAGAACAACAATTGTAGCTCATAATGCTAGTTTCGCCTCACTCTGCTTGACATGCTAAAGAGCTAGGCCAGAGTCAGAGTAGGTTTAAATCCCCAACACCTAACTTTTTTTTAGCTGAGCAGATAAACTACGGATGAAGTTGTGGTACTTTAGCACTTTGGTTGAGGTCAAAGGTCATGTTGTTGTTACTGCTGTATCTGGGATGGCCTCAAACTGACAGTCTCCATGGAAACGGTGACCACAAGCTATTCAATAACAAGACACGTTTTGGCAATTTTAACTGAGTAAATAGAAAGAAACCAATTAAATATTACACCAGACTTTGCAACATTCCTGACATTACCATGTTATTTTAATGAGACGGGCAAAGTGGGAAACTAGCTAAATCTTTTAAGACGTCAGGTGAATGTAACAGGAGACTAGCTGTTATGTCAATCATTGTGATGAGAACATTTGACCCCCAGAGAAAAGTATACTTGTAATATTTTCAACAAAAACATTTGCAATAACAATATTTAACAATACTAAAATTACATATTTAGGAAAGATCGACCACATAAAAAAGGAGGTGGGGTGATGTTGTATGTTAAAAAGACTATCGAATGTAAACAGATAAATCTTCCCCAAAATGACCTGGAGTGTGTGGGAGTTACAATCTGTTTATCCCCCGAAATGTCTTTTAACTTGGTAGTCGTGTATAGGCCACTTAATGAGAAGGATGTATTTTTTGACATGTTTAAAGACGTATTAAAAGCATGTAGCAACAAGGAAACCATCGTAATGGGTGATTTTAACCTAAATTGGGTAGATAAAACGCGGTCCAATAAGCTAAGACACCTTGCTAAACAGTTTAATTTCACTCATTAAGAATCCGACCAGAATGACTAGCTCCTCAAAAACCTTGTTGGATTTGATTTTCACTAACAGGGCGGAAAGGGTTAATAAAACGTATAATTTAATAACTGGTTTATCGGACCATAATCTCACTCTGGTTTCAAGGAAACTCTCTAAATATCGTTATAGAAACCAAAATAAAGAAGGGTCCTATGTATCAGTTATTCCAAAGCGTGATATGGAACTTTTAGATGCTGAAATTGAAACTACTATGCAAAATAATTTAGTTTTTGGCCAGGATGTCGAGCAGGCTTGTAGCACTCTTAAAAATGCAATCTCTCAAATTCTTCTAAAATGTACAAAAACAGAGCCACAAAGATTTAAAAGTAAAAAAAAATTACCGTGGTTCAGTGAGCGGCTATGGGTCCTAATGAAGGATAGAGATGCTTCCCTAAAAAAGTATCTCAAGTCAAATTTGAGAACTGACCGATTGATCTTTAAAAGCCTCAGAAATAAAGTAACTGGACAGCTTAGAAGAGAAAAAGCGGACTTCTTTTTGGACATTATTAAACAAGCCAAGGGTAATAGTAAAATTATATGGAAGTGCATAGACAGTCTCTCTGGGAAAGAGCGGACTGGAAATGGACCTATTGAACTTAACATTAACTCTTGTAATACTGGAACACTCACACCTGTAACACAAGTCACCACAAAAGACAGCTCAACTATCGCAAACATGTTCAACGACTATTTTATCTCTTCAATCTTGGAATTGCGTAAATCCTCAAGTATGGAGTTGCATTTAACATCATATGCAGCCTCTATTAGGGCTGTGGCGACGCGGCCCACAGATGGACTACAATCCATTTCTGTGGAAGCTCTAGACTTTGAATCTGTGAGCGAAGGCGAGGTTAATAAAATAATTTCCTCACTTTCAAATTCGAGAGCCAAAGATTGTTGGGGATTTGATTCACTCCTTCTAAAAAAACATAAAGAGGTTTTCACTGGTCCAATCACGTACATAATGAACCAATCACTAAGAGAATGTGTGTTCCCCTCCTCTTGTAAATTTGCAGTTGTTACGCCCATTTTTAAGGCAGGTAACAAAAAGGAATTGATAAACTATAGACCAATTAGTATACTTCCTACTGTCTCAAAAGTTATCGAAAAAATTGTTGCAGAACAGCTGGTGGAACACCTTGACAATAGAAATATGTTACACCCCATACAATTTGGCTTCCGATCAAAACATTCCACCGATACAGCCTGTTGTTATCTTCTTGAGGTGATTAAGTCCAATCTAGACAAAGGAGGGGTGGTTGGGGCCATTTTTCTGGATCTGTGTAAGGCTTTCGACACAGTTAACCACTCAGTGCTGCTAACAAAACTGTTGAATTTGAATCTTTCAGCAAACACTATTAGTTGGTTTCAATCTTACCTTGCAGATCGTTTTCAGTGCGTAAAAATAAATGATAAGATCTCACCTTTTAGCCCCTGCACTACTGGTGTACCACAGGGGTCTATCTTGGGGCCATTGCTTTTTACTCTGTACATCAATGACCTACCTTCCATCTGTGATGATGTGGAGGTCTTGATGTACGCTAATGACACGGTTCTATTTACTCACAGCTCTGATGCAAATCTTGTCGCAGATAAATTATCTATAAGCTATGAATAAAGTAATAGAGTGGTTGAACAAGTCGAGCCTTACGCTGAATTCAGAAAAAATGTATGTATTTTTCCAACAAAAGAAAGATTGTTCTTCCAAATATCTATGTGGATGGCGATGGTTTGATTATCAAAAATGTCCAAGAAATCAAGTACCTAGGTGTAATGCTGAATCCTACCCTTAATTTTAAAAACCATGTTAAAAAGGTTTGCCGCGTTCTGAAATTTAACATCGCCAACTTCCAGCACATCAGGAGCTCTTTGTCATTGGAAGCAGCTAAATCATATCTTAATGCAATGATTATATATCATATCATGTATTGTGTGTCTTCATGGTCTCAAGCTAAAACAACGGTTTTAAACCCCCTTTGATCGTTGTATAACCAGGCTTTGAAAGTCCTGGATAAAAAGCCTCGCCGGTATCATCACTGCAATATACTTGAAAAATACAGCATACTAAGCTTTGACAATCTGATTAGGTATTCCGATGTACGTTTGTTTCATAAGATTCTTAATGATACTGCCCCACCCCCCCTAAAAACATATGTACAGCTTCGCTCACAGCTAACCAACAGAGCATTAAGATCTGTGTCCAGGGGAGACTGCAATGTTCCTAAGAGAAAGTCTGCCTTCTCTCAATCAGCCTTTTCCTACAAAGCCACTAAAGAATGGAATGGGCTCCCAGACAATCTAAAGAACAATGCAGATTTCCACAGTTTTTCACGGACAGTTAAAGACTGGCTTTTAGATCAACAGTCCTGCTCGCACTAAAAGTACCAGATGGGTACTTGGCCATCAGGTGTTACCCTCGCGGGTATCGTCTGATGGCCACCACACTATTAGTGTTAAAAACTATTGTATCTATGTGCTAATTATGTATAGCTACAAAATAATTATGAAAACTGTTGCACTTTGTCATTCTGCACTTTATGAATGCAACTGGCACTTTTTATTTGCACTTTTTATCTGCACCTTTACTATATATTGCACAAATGTTTATTGTCTATGTTTTGTATTTTAATTAACTCTGTTATGTATTTTAATTGTATTTTTGATTGTATAAGGACTACAGATGGAAATTAGCATTGTGCTAAATCTGGGGCAGCCATCTTTTTAATGTACCTGTCCGTTGTCCTTTTAAATAAATAACTAACTAACAAATGATTTTATACTAATATAAAGAATTTACACAGGTCTCAATTCCACTGTGATCATTTCAAAATTAAGTAATTATTTTAGTAACGTTATGTTCTCAAACGAGTTTCTAGTTTGAATACTAGTTTTAGTCTTTAAATGTTCATTCGTCATTTATTTAATCTTAGGTCAACAACAACAATTTTACGTTCATTACGGAGCAAATGCTTTTCAGTAATAGGAGTAACACTTATTACCCTATTTACAAAAATGTCAATGAAAAAAAAAAAATCAACCATATTCAACAATTGTTTGGCTTCACTGTATTTTTGTTATGCGACTCCGGCCTTTTGTATCATGCCACAACTTTTATCGCACAGCCCTAAAAACGTTTCAATTCATGTCTGTAGTAGATCACATTTGACAGAGTTGAAGTTGGCTGAATAACAAATCCTTACTCACCGGCTACATTAGTGGATTCTAGAGCTTGACAAAGAGGTATAACATTTCTATGTAGGCAGATCTGAAGTTGGCTGGATGACACTGTGAACCGGTGTTTATAATTACACAGGTTAGCAAGGCAGAGGGCCGCAATTGGCCCGCAGGCCGTAGTTTGGACCTACATGGTTTAAAGGAATAGTGCTATTTGAAAAAGATAATACTCTGTAGCCATGAGTTTTGAAAGTTCTGTGCTGGAGTCAAAACTTTATACCACTTTTTTTTTACAATTATCCTTTAAGAACAATTCAAAGTGCACATTGTTTGAAATCCATAACGTTTGACCCTGATCACTGCATGTTTGTCACATTTTAACCTCAGGGCGTCACTTCCCGAAGAGCTCCCGCCTCAGTCTCGTGGTTCAGGCCAGTTTCGATGGCGAGACCCTGAGCACAGACCCAACGGAGCATCGCGAGCAGCCGCAGTTCAGCACAGAGCTGGCCTGGGAGCTGAGCCGCCGCACGCTGCACCAGCACCGGTACACACTGCTCCAGGGCCCAGAGCCCAGAGTCTTCCAGTGTTTCTGAGTGTGTTTCTGTGTCGCAGGCTGCAGAGGACGCCGATAAAGCTGCAGTGCTTCTCCGTGGACTTGCTCAGTAAAAAGAGAGAGAATGTGGGATACATCGTTCTGGACCTGAGATCTGTGCAGGAGCAGAAGCAGGTGAGCCTCGTCCTGCTTTAGAAAGTTTGATTATAAGTGTTTTCTCAAATATTCAGCATCACTTACCTCCTTTCAAATATCACTCTATTCACAAATTAAACAATTTATGCTTAAAAAGTAAAAATTTTGTCAGACAACCCTCAATTGCTACAATGCTCAAATATATATATATATATATTAAAAAAAACACTGTTAAGGATGTTTTATAAAGTGTTGATAATCAACTGTCCATCCATCCATCCATTTTCTTCCCCTTAATCCATTTTTGGGTCGGGGGGTTGGCCATAGATGCCACCCAGTACTGCTCTATGGCATAGCCTTGATCTTTCAGCGGGGGCTTCAGGCAAAGTGGGGTTAAGTGTCTTGCCCAAGGACACAACGAGAGCAGTCATCAGTGGGAGTCGGTGGAGAAGGTCTCATGGTGGGCTTGAACCCACGACCTTCAGGCTCAAAGGCCAGTGCTCTACCACTGTTGCCCCTATAATCAACTGTCAGACTGTGATTTCATTATTTGAATGTTGAGCTACTATGAATTTGTGGCTTGGTGTTCTTAAACATATATCCTTGTGTATTTAATCCACATGTGTGTTGTCTGTGTAGGAGCCTCGCTGGTTCCCGCTCCTCAGCAGTAAATACACCAAACTGAAGCCGGCGCTGCTGCTGCGGCTGCAGCTGGAGACCGACTCCAAACCGGCTCCGGTTTCACCGGACAAGTTCAAGGCCAAGACGGCTCCTCCACGCACCGGTAACTACTCTGACATCTGGAATCATCACATCATCAAGTTAATCACATTTGTTTTGTCATCATGATCAAGATTATGGCTGTCACTAGGAAAGGCTGCCTGGGAAAGGCGCTCGTAGAGCGCAGACACCGCCAAGAGGCACTGTTCAAGCACAGAGCAATGGAGCTACTGAGACAGAGAGAAAAGCAGCAAGATATTATTTAGAAAGAATCTTGCATCTAGACATAGATTCAATTGACCTCCAGAATCACTTATTCATTGTGCCATCACAGTTGTTTCCTGTAAAATTCAGAAAAATCCTTTACGTCCAAATACTTGTTTGAGTTATGGAGAGAACTATAACAAAAGAACAAATCAGTTTTTCCATTATGTTCTTGTGAAACAATTTTCTACCATTTGGTTCATTCTGTACAAACATAGCTCTTCCTCTGAGTGACTGTGCTTCTCTCAATCTCAGAGATTGTTGGATAAATGACTGGTAATGTTTTGTTTGTTCTTCACACCCGTCTCTCTCTCTCAGGCTCCCCGGCCCTGGAGCTGCTCCCCGACAGACTGCAGCCGCTGCTGGTGTCTGACCGCGGCTTTCACCAGATCGGCCCCGAGGATCTGTGCTCAGAGCTGTTCGTCCTCTCGGTCACTGTGGCCTTTGCCACAAAACTGCAGCAGGTCAGAGTTCAGCCTCTGTCAATGTTTACACACACACACGTTGAAGGTCTGGTCCAGTTTAAAAAGATGAATCATAATGTATGTAAAGCTGGGTTCTTCAGATGAGGATGAATGACCCGCCTCCAAAACCGTATAAACACAACTCTATCTTTTGTAATCACATCCATCACAGCAGAGGAGAAGCGTTCAGAACTTCAGTTGTTTGCACAGTATAAAACGGTAAACTTTTATTTTTGCTACAGAAGAACAGTTCCATAATGTTTGAAAATGAAATGTAAATATATCAAGCTGTTTTTCCCAAACGTGTGATTATATTCAGTGTAACAGTGTTAAATACATCATCATGTGTCCTCAGCTGATCCCCTCTGACCTGAACCTTTCCGCTGAGGGCTCAGATTACTTCTTCTACTACACTTTACTCGGCAACGACATCACGAGTGAACCCTTCCACAGCCTCCTCACACCCACCTTCGAGCCGGAGCGCGCCTCTGTGCGCATCCGCAGCAACAAACAGGTCCTGCAGAGGTTCCTGCGACAGGAGAAGTGTCTGCAGGTGAGAGGCACAAACAACTGCACAGGGAGGAAACAGAAGCTTTGTCGACACTGGAAACGTCTCAATCTGATTAAACAACATTTCAATCAATCTTTATTACAGAGCGCTTTTCCTACACAGGGCAACACAAAGGGCTTCACGGTCTACACCACACAGAACAAATCATCACATAAAACAAACACAGCATTAAAAATCACACGGGTAATACAAAACATGAAAATATTAACATCTCACAAGTGATTAAAATAATGAATAACAGTGCATTAAAAAGAGTATAGATAAAAATGTCACTTTATTGGCTCTGTCTTCAAGATTTTGCCCTAGGACAGTTCTGTTGTAAAAGCAGTTTGTTGTGATAAAGAGATCACACAAGTAAATTAAGATTCTAAATTCTGTTAAAAACAGGATTTTCCTTCAGAACAAGCAGATTTAGTTCAATTTCAAGTGCAGTAGTATTCTGTTATTCATAGTTCTGCTTGTGCCTCTTTCTTAAAGTAAAGTAAAACAAGATATTTTATGCAACACATCTGCTCCTCTTTGTTCATACAATTTCAAGTGATGTTGTTTATGGATAACTTCAATGGCAGGTTTCACATTTCTTCCACAAAACCTTTACATAGTTGCTGAAAAACTATAATAAATATTTAGCAGAACGATATAGCCACAATCTCATTATGAGATTAACTTTTCTATATAAAGTGTCTATTTGTATCCGTCCCAGATCCACTTGTGCTGTGGGAGCCAGTCTCTGGGCAGTGCAGACGTGTCCCTGTCCCCCCTCTGCTCCCCGTCTGTGGACCTGGAGAGCAGAGCGGCCACAGTGGAAGGAGCCTTCGTCCTGAACACCCCAAAGAGGCTCAAAGCAGTGGGGAACGCAGAGCTGCCGACGGTGGGCGTGGCCGTGACGCTGAGGAGAGAGGAGGCTCCGGCGCAGGTGAACCAGCACTGCACCTGGACTTAAAGTGGTTTTTGCTCCATCCACGCTATTATCAGAAGCTTCTAGCACTTGCTAATAATCAGATGAGGGGTCAAATGTAAAAGTCTGTGAAAATAAGTTGTTTTATTAAATGAATGCAACTTTCTCATCAGTCAGAGCCAAAGGAAGCCGCCCTCAGCACTCTCCCAGAGGCTCCGGTCGTGCCTCTAGTCCCTGTGGTTCCTGTGGTCCCTCCAGTATCTGGTCCGTCAGCTCAGCCCGATCCCGGTCCTGGTCCAGGACTAGAGCTTGGTCCCAGGTCTCTGCTCCTGTCTCCCATCCCCAGAGAGGCTCCTGTGTGTCGGTCTGAGAGCGAGGCGGACAGTCTGATGGACGAGCTGCACCCAGAGAAGCCCCAGGACACAGGTGAAACATGTCACAGCAGTTTATTTGTTTAAAAAGGTTACATTAATAAAACAAAAAGCAAACAATCATGTGGCGGTAACAGTGTGTGGAGAGAAAATCCCACTCACTCTGATGAAAAAATGAGGGCAAGTGGAGTTCTTAGGCAGCTCGTGGCAGAGTGGTCCTCACTTTCATTGTGATTGGTGTAAATATTATGCAAACTTGATTAAGTGAATGATTTTAACTGTGAATTGGGTAGCATCTCTGACTGCCACCCCCCAACCCAGAAATGGACTAAGGGGAAGAAAATGAATGGATAGAGTGTGTCAATATAAATATTTGTTTTATCGTACGTATCATGTTTTTGAAGCAGATCAAAGTTTTTGCTTTTTAAGTATTTATTTGTTTAATCAAGATCTATTAATCAAAACCCGAACAGACAATGAAGCACATGTGAATTCTGCTTGTCCACACTAATATTTACACTCCATGGTCCACACTGAGCCTGTTTTCTCTCTGCTCCCCCTCTAGCGCCCCCTGCAGTCTCAGAGGCCTCCTCCGTCTCTGTCTCTGCTCCTAAAGTGTCCATCCCTCCGTCCGCTCATCACTTCTGCTTTTCTCTGGATCTGCGCAGCATCGGAAACCTCAGCCTCCCTCACCCCATCTCTGCCACTCTCAGGTACTGTCACTCTCTGCTGAAATGGAGCCGCAGTCACGAGACTTGGAGATGAGGAGTTTGGATGGTAACAGTCATACGTCAGACTTGTCATCTCGCCAGTTTATAATATGTAGTCTATATCAAGTATGGTCTAATTATTAACTGGTGACATTATTCAAAAACATATTTATGATGATGGCCAGTAGAAAGGACTCCCGTAGAGTCCACAGCAAAATAATTTATTACAAAGAAAATGTCATTTACTGTGGGTGGAATAAAGTATTTCTATCTTTTTATTCCCTGTATGTGTGTGTATGTGTGTGTGTTTGTATTTGTGCATGTACCAGGTACCAGTACCAGTTCTTTGGCTCAGCGGCACCTGTGATGACGCAGCCGGTGGAGCTGAGCCGACACTCGGAGCTGCAGCCGCCTCAGTCGTTCTGTGCCTTTAACTTTGCTGCGCTGCCGCAGCAGCTGCACGACGCCTTCCACAAGTAAAAACACTCATTTGTTTTCTGGATTCTGGATTCAGATCAGGCTGCCACAATCTCAAGTATTCAACGAATGGCGATTGTTTTGTGCAAATACTTCACAACTACTACTTTTTCAATTGAACATTTATTATATTGGATAAGAATAAGAATTATGGCTTCTGGATAGAGTTAGCAATAGAAATGTATTAAATCCATACCTAAATAGTATACATATGTTTAGCTGGTGTTAGCATTTATATTTAAATGAAAAGAACTGTGTCACTTTCTGGATGTTTTATGTAGTCTGCGATACAGTTCCAGAGTTCTTCGATTTGAAAGAAAGTTTGTGAAATTCAGGCCCACTCTCACTCAGGACTCATCTTTTTGCAATGAAAAACTAAAACCAAACAAAGATGATCTTGAGTCTTATCAGTCTATTCAGAAAAATGTTCCTGTTTTGTATCTGTTGTAGCAGCCTGTGTCCACTAGAGGGAGCTGCAGGCACATGTACAACATGGTTTAAAAACAGTCTCTTGTCTCAGTGAAGTTTACTTACACCGGGTCAAACACAACTCTTTTCTCACTTGTTCTCAATATCTTACATATAAACTACTTTTTTTTTTTTAAACCTTTTTTTTTAGTAAAAAATGCAATAAAGTAGAAATAAAACATGCTTAAAATGTGCAGCACAGTTGGTCTTTTTATTTAGCCCAAAATCTAGACTCCTCTGAATCATCGCTGTGAATGATTAGAAGTTGTGAGAAGGTGAAGACGTGGATTTCTAAAAAGTCTTGTAAAAACCCTTACTGACTTAACCGTACTACTTAATCCTAGGCCTAATTTTACACCGTTTACTTTTGTGCTCTGCCTCAGGACCTGAGTTCACTCTTTCCTCCCTCTCTGACCTCAGGGTTCCGCTGGTGGTGGAGCTGTGGCACCGCCCCCTCAGCTCCCGGGACGAGCTTATTGGCAGAGCCTCCCTACAGCTGTCCCGCCTCCTCTCCTCACCCAGGGTCCGAGGTCAGAGGTCGTCGTCGGGGGAACAGAGCTGGAGACGGACGCACCAGGAGAGGGTCCACTTCCTGCGAGCGAACAGGTCCCAACAAAAACCTTTACATCGTCTCACATTGTTTGAAGTCTGCAGCAGTGATTATGGATGAATGAGATATTTTCAATCCATGCGCTGTTGGGATTACATTATTTGATAACACTTTAGATTAACCCTTGCTATTTAACAGCTAATTAAGTGATAATTAGTGTACCGTAACCCTAGCCCTAGCTCTAACCTACATCAGTAAGTATCAGTTAGTAGTCAGATGTTGAAAAAGGCCTTGTAGAATAAGGACAGAATAAGAATGTAATATATAGATACTGTATTGATCCCCGTGGGAGTAATTCAGGTTTCCAGTAGCAGCAGAAACCCCCCAAAAAATAACAAATAAATAGATCATTCTAAAAGTAGCTTACAATAGTAGTAGTTTTAAAATGCAACAGCACTTTAGGTCACAGTAGCAGAGCTGGTGTTAGCATATTTAAGAAGAAAAAAAAACATTCCTCCTGTGGATTTACGCTCGATCTGCCTTTCCCGGGTGTCTAAGTTACAGCACATCAGTTATATCACATTGCACAATTAACATTATGTATGTATTTTTTCCAAACTGTCTCCACCAGTTGGAATCACATTATTGGGGATGTACTTTATTTTATATATAAATGTTTTCCTCTTTAACATGTTAACTGCTGTTCCCCTTCAGGCCCACAGAGAGCGCTGCTGAGCTGACGTATGAGGCATCTCTAGAGGATCTGGGTTTGGTCAGAGCCACCGAGGTCGTAGTGTCCGAGTCCACTCCGGTGAGTTAGAAAAACAGAGAGATCAGATCAAATGCAGAGGGTTCGAGATCGTTGCTCATGTCTCTGGTGAAACTTCCTGAAGCCATGAAGGTTAACTGTACAGAGCTGGGGGGTCAAACTTATTTTGATCGGGGCCCAAATTTAAAAAGCTAAGAGCTGGTAGGGGCCAAAAGTATAAAAGTGGTTTTCTTTTATAATCATTGTTTCTTTTTACATATTTTTGTTTTTTGTCTAGTATAAAGGCTCATCTGATTCTAGACTCCATATTTGGAATTTATTGTTTCTCCCAAAGTAAGTCGGGAGCAAGGAGCTGATTGGTCAGTAGCTGTTGCTCATTTTATTATTATTATTGTTTTAGAATATGGAGATTGAAAGAGAAGGGTCATGTTGCCCATTCTATCCATGTGTTTCAGTTGCTAATGGGCATCTAAATAGTAAGTAAGTAAGTAATGTTTATTTATATACCGCCTTTCACAGACAGAGTCACAAAGCGGTTTACAATTGTTAATTATGGGCACTTGTCCTCTCACTCCTCAGAGAGATGGGAGCAGGGTCGCCGAACAGGAGGCGCATGCCAATCCTATTATACATATTTTTAGTGGTAGGGGAAACCGGAGTACCCGGAGGAAACCTACGCAGACACGGGGAGAACATGCAAACTCCACTCAGAAAGGCCCTGGTCCGACCGGGATTCGAACCCAGAACCTTCTTGCTGAGAGGCGAGAGTGCTATCCACTCAGCCACCGTGCCGCCCAAGCAAATAGAAACAAGCAAACAACTAGCTATAGCCACGCTAACCTGTATCTGCCCAAAGTTGCTCTAAACAAGACTGTGCAACTAGGATGTTCAAATAATGGTAAATGGTTTTCTTCTCTCCAGAGTGATGACCCCACCCCGCCCACAGCCCCCCCTCCCCCTGTGGCTCCCTCCGTCCCCCCCAGAGAGACCCTGGAGTACCGTGCTGCTCTGGAGCTGGAGCTTTGGAAGGAGGAGCAGGAGGACCTCTTCGACCACAAGGTAACTGCTCCCCCGGTGGACTCCACTGGTACTGCACCACTACATTATGTTCAAAAGGTTGTACGCATGTGACATCACAACATTCCAAAAAGTCTATAATTTAAAATTGTGGTGGGCTAAGAACTGCATCAAATTTGTTCTTTGTGAGTAAATATCAGCCATGGTCCCAATTATTTTCACATGAAATTGTTTAGAAGTGTAGTTGATATTCAAACACGTGAGCAGGATGTTGGCCACAAGAAACACTTATCAAATAATTGAATTATTTGGTAATCTAATCACTGTCAAATAATGATCTGCCAAAAAATCATTTTGTCTTAATTTCTGTCGTGTGTACGGATCGTAATGAACACAACCGTTTAAATGCTATTACTTTGTCAATGAAGGGCAGAAGTTTTCTTTACCTATTTTTTTCTTCTAATCATTACTGTTTATTCTATTTGTGTATATATTTGGATATTTGTGTAAATTTCTCCTGTGTGAGATGAATAAAGTATATATTTTCTTATTTATGTCTATTTTAGAACCTTATTTTTATGCAAATTAAGTTATTCTGTCTCAAATCCTCTTCCCTTCTTTGTGTCTGCAGCTGAAGCAGAAGGAGCTGAGCCACATGCAGGCGTTAGCTCAGGAGTGGAGGAAGAGAGACCAGGAGCGAGAGGCGCTGCTGCACAAGAAGGTCTCACACAAGATCAAAAACTGAAGTCTGCGTTCACGATTTTGTAAACGTTCATGATTGTATTGTTCCAGGAGCAGGAGTATCAGCAGCTGGAGGAGCAGCTTCAGAAAACTCTGTCTGATTTAGAAACCAGAGAGAAACGCCTGGCGGAGGCTGAACTGCAGGTCTGAGCTAAATATGTAAAACTGAGATTGAAAAACCTGAGAAACTTTACAGATTTATAACTTGTTACCGAGATTTTGTGGGGAAATTTCAATGTCATCGTTACGCTTATTACAGCAAGGAAGGTTTGGGTTTTGGACACATCAAACAGGATCTATTATTTAAGATTATAAATAGTCGTCTGGAAACCGTTTTTAACCTGGATTTGAACATTGTCAGAGCAGAAGCTTGTCTCACATTTTCGGGAAAGACTGTTCCAGATGTTATTATTGAAAGACAGACGTGAGAATCAATGGAGCTATGGCTACTTTCCAAGGATAAATCAAATTGAATGATATCTGTGTTTGTCCCGCCTCTTCCAGACGCAGCGGCTGCAGAGGGAGCTCCGAGCCGAACACGCCCTGACCCTGAGCGAGCTGAAGGAGAGCGGCCGCAGACTGCAGCTGGACTGTGACCAGCGGGTGGCGCTAGAGAGGGACAAGGCCCGACTGCTGGAGGAGGAGAGGGCCAGACTCCTGCAGCAGGTACAGCCTCATGTGGGACCCCTGAGCATGTTGTGCTGGTCTCTCAGCAGACCCTCAGACCCTCAAACTCCAATATCATTTCAAAAAGTTATTAAAAATAATTCAAATTTGGCAAAATGTTTCTGAATTTGAGCACATTTTAACTGCCTTAAAACAAGATTTGCCAATGGGACAAATTAAAATTATCTTGTTTTAAAAAGATAAAAGAAATGTCTTCCTTGGAATGAGAAAATAAATCAACAGTTCTTGATAAATGGCTTTGTCCCATTGGCAAATCTTGTTTTAAGAGATTTAGAAGTTAAAAACAATTTGATTTAAGAGATAATTACTATTTTTTGCTGTCTCATAAAGGCTGGTGCCAGAACGCATGGTCAAGTGGTCATTATAGTGGTGACATTTAAGAGTTTGAACCACTACAGGAGACAGGTCTAATAGATGGACCAAATACCCTACTTTTTTTGTAAATTTTTTTGATCCTGCGGCGTATCTGGAAAAAATCCTAAACATTTAAGGGGCTGCTTGTTTACCGTCAAAATAGACTGGTGAGTGAACTAATATTGATATGAATGAGTTCTCCAGAGTTATTTTTCCCCCCAAATTCTGTTCTTTTTGAAGCTTAAACGTCTTTGTTTTAAAGTGTTGTGGGATCCTAAAAGTCTGTCTGTTTTACATGTTCAGATGTCGGACGCAGACGCGAGGTTCAAGGCTCTGGAGAAAGAGTTCCAGGTTTACAGAGAACAACAGAACATCAGACCTGAGTTCAGACTGCAGTCCGAGATCAACATGCTCTCACTGGAGAAGGTACTGGACCAGAGGGAGAGACCAGAGAGGGAGAGACCAGAGAGGGAGAGACCAGAGAGGGAGAGACCAGAGAGGGGAGAAAATATGACATGCATTTATTTTTTGCTTTCCTGTAAATACTTGGTTTACTTCTTGGTAAATACCCTGGTGCAGCTGACACTCACCCCTGACCAAGCCCCGGTGATCCAAGATGGCGCCCTCTTCAAATGAATGGCTTGTGCTCAGTAGCGCATGGGACTTCTCGGGGACAGAACGATTAGCGGAACTTGCCCATATTTGGGCATCGTCTGGTCCTCCCAGTTCTGTGCAGTGAACGATCTCCCATGATGCTTTGCGCCAAATACAGGCGTGTAGCTCTCATGCACGTGCTGGAGCAGAGTTAGAGCAGGAGCCAGACGAGCAGAGGTTGTTTCATTGAAGTGTGGATTTATAGAAAACCAAAGGATTTAAGAAGGAAAAAAGTTCAGGATGACAAGGGACACTAAAATCCCCACAAAATACGATCTTTCTGAAAGCTGTAGGTTCTCTGTCAGCTGAGGTCAAGCTGGTTTAGTTTACATTGAGTTCTATGGGACTTTTTTTTTTTTTTAGCCATAAGCTAGTAATACCCTATCCAGTTATTATTATAGATCCATGCCCCTGACTCTGACTCTGACAGAGGAATGTGGTGTGTTTTCAGGTGGAGCTGGAGAGGAAGCTGGAGTCCACCACTAAGTCTAAGCTGCACTACAAGCAGCAGTGGGGCCGCGCCTTAAAGGAACTGGCTCGATTCAAACAGGTGAGGGGAGCGTCTGCCCCAGAAATATGAAAAACTGTTTTGAGAGCCAGGAACTAGTGCTACAGGTTTCCCAGCTTTAAATGAAAGGAATAGCAAATAGTTTTTAGTGACTTACAGCTCTGCAGAAACAAATGCTGTTTTCTCTTTCAAATGTTTTGGTGTGGGAATGGACCAGAGACCAGACTTCACATTTCTTTTCTCTTCAGACTTTGACAAGTCGACCTTAAAACAAATGAATTGACGCTAAAACAGATTTATCTCTGTTCCTCGGAGACGCTTTCAAAATAAACTCCAACTGTTGAGAACTCTGCTCAGTGAGAACATATCTGAACAAATGTGAGAAACCAGGACTGAACCAGCAGAGACCGAACCAGCAGAGACCGAACCAGCAGAGACCGAACCAGCAGAGACCGAACCAGCAGAGACCGAACCAGCAGAGACCGAACCAGCAGAGACCGAACCAGCAGAGACCGAACCAGCAGAGAGCGAACCAGCAGAGAGCGAACCAGCAGAGAGCGAACCAGCAGAGACCGAACCAGCAGAGACCGAACCAGCAGAGACCGAACCAGCAGAGACCGAACCAGCAGAGACCGAACCAGCAGAGACCGAACCAGCAGAGACCGAACCAGCAGAGACCGAACCAGCAGAGACCGAACCAGCAGAGACCGAACCAGCAGAGACCGAACCAGCAGAGACCGAACCAGCAGAGACCGAACCAGCAGAGACCGAACCAGCAGAGACCGAACCAGCAGAGACCGAACCAGCAGAGACCGAACCAGCAGAGACCGAACCAGCAGAGACCGAACCAGCAGAGACCGAACCAGCAGAGACCGAACCAGCAGAGACCGAACCAGCAGAGACCGAACCAGCAGAGACCGAACCAGCAGAGACCGAACCAGCAGAGACCGAACCAGCAGAGACCGAACCAGCAGGGACTTGGGCATGACCCAGGGACTTGACCCAAGGACTTGACCCAGGGACTTGACCCAGGGACTTGACCCAGGGACTTGACCCAGGGACTTGACCCAGGGACTTGACCCAGGGACTTGACCCAGGGACTTGACCCAGGGACTTGACCCAGGGACTTGACCCAGGGACTTGACCCAGGGACTTGAACCCGTCTTGTGTTGCAGAGGGAGCAGGAGAACGCCATGTGTCGCCTGAAGAAGCAGCAGCAGGAGCTGGAGACCATGAGGCTGAAGTTTCTGGCGTCAGAAGAACGAAACGTCACGAGTCAGGAGCGAGAAGAGCTGCAGGAGATAAAGAACCAGATCAACAGGTGAAGCACTGTCGCCTCACAGCAACAGGGTCCTGGGGCAGCAGCGGTGCACCCAGGCCCTAAAACAGGAACAGTAGGAAATGTGAGATGGAGGTGAAGGTGTGGATAGTGGATCTCCTGCTTTGGCTCCAGTCCCCGCTCAGTGGCCACCAGTGGTACTGCAGCAAGACCATGTTCCTAGAGACCACAATGTTACCATAAAGGGCTCAAGCTCGACTAACTGGGCATTTACAGCTTTCACGAAGTCTTGGTTATGTGGTGTTTTTATCTGTCATTTTTAAAGTTTTATCATTTTTGAAATACATTTAATATCTAGGAATTCACTTTTGTTCATATAACTCACACTGGACTTTGCTAGAGGCTAATGGTGGGCTAGCAGGTAACGGCTAACTTGGCACAGGCCATTGTGTTTCATGGGCAGACGTCTTGGATCCCAGGGCTTCTCACTGCTCCTAAGTGACATGTTTTCTACCTTGGACCAACAAAGTGAACAAGTTAAAGCTGAGGAAGTTGATTTTTAAAGTTAAAAAGGTGGCGCTAAACTAAAATAGTCTGACAATCTCTCAAAAGAGTTTGGTACTATCTCTAGTTTTCACCTGCTGCATTTCTCTCAGACTTTGATATTATTCTTCGATGATTAAAGTCAGAGAATCTTCACATGTTTTCCAGGTTGAAGGACGAGAGATTAGTCCCCGCCCCCTCGCTCTCAGGCCCCGCCCCATCACCCTCAGGCCACGCCCCTCTCGATGATCACATGAGCGATCACCTGAGCCGGCTGCTGGAGGAACGGGACACGCTGCTGCGAACCGGAGTCTACACCCACGAGGACCGCATCATCTCAGAGCTCAACCGGCAAATACAGGACGCCATGAAGGGGCACTGACCAATCACAGGACGCCAGGAAGAGAGACGGACCAATCATAGCAGCACAAGTTTGTCCCATGTGTATATAGCTGTGATGATGATGATGGTAGATTAAGTCCCAAAACTCTCTGTACTTTGTGCGTAGATCAAAATACCGTCTTACTTTGAATTAAAGCTCTGTAAAGCTGGGGTACCTATCTTTGAAATCTCTATCCTTCTGACTGGATCATGGCCAGCTTTTTCACACAGAACCTCGGCCTCCTTCACTCAGAGCCAATCTTGAAATACAAATATGTGAAAGATAACATTAAAGAGAAGACGGCAGGTTGTGATCTGATTTTGTCGTATTTTTTGGTATTCATTGGAAAAGTAAATGTAGGTACCCCAGCTTTAAGTACTACAGGTGAGGTTTAAGGTCTGTGAATTTGTTGAAGACTAAACTATGGCCAAAAACAAACTTCTGACTCTTAATTGTAATATTTTTTAACAGATTGAGAAAGATCTACCGCTGTATTTATCACAGCTGTGTTCGAGTGATTGAGTTTAGGTTGTATTTAAAAATGAAAACGTCCGAAACAAACCACAATTTTCTCCTTTATGGAAAACGTTTCACAGTGTTTACATTTGACGTCAGTGTTTTGATTCAGCGTCTCGGCGTTTGAACCGTCTATTTACAAAAACAAATACGTCTCAATTATTCATCAAAATGAAGTTTCTAAATCTGGGTCTTGGTCAAAAGGAGAAGTGTCCGAACATTTACACCATGGACAAACATTCACTTTTATGTTGAATAATGTTGAAATATTGATGAAATCGTTTTAATGAGACTCACAAAAATGTAGAGAAAAATTGATTTTTTTGGACATTTCTCCGTCCCCTTCACACGCACATTCTGATCCGACTGAAGCTCATGGACTGAAGACCCGGAACAATGGGAGCTGCAGGTTTTTATGTTTTATTTATGTGTCTCTCATCATGGTCGGTAGAATCCGCTCGGAGTCGTCTGTGAGCAGTTTGTGCGACGCTTTGTTGTTGTAGAATTTGTAAATGTTTCATATTTTGTTATTTATGAATTTTTAAAGTAAACTTTCTACTGAATTATCCAGTGTCTTTTTTTTCTTTCAGCAGATTCACAAAATAACACTTGTTTTTATCCCTGCAACATCCAAAAACAGCTGCAGTTTTTAGCTTGATTCACAACATGAGCACATCCCCCCGCCCCTTCTGTCCAAACACTCCTCATCAAACTCATGTTAAGCTGATTCCTATGACTATGACGTCATGCACAGGGATATATTCTGCAAAACATGAGCTTTTAAGCAAGTTACCCCATTGTTCCTCTCCAAACAGAGACCAGTTGTTTTTAGATCCATCTATGCTAATATTAGAGACTTCTGGCACAAACAAATAACTGCCCCTTTTGTCTAAACTCTGGTGTCTCAGTTCTGTGACAGTATGATGTCATAGTGGTGCAATGGCATCATACTCAGAGCAGTTTTCTGCCTTTTAAAACAATAGTATTGCCCAGTGGAATTAGGTTCTTTAAAATCACATGTGTTTGCAGCCGGTAACTTTCAAATTTGGAAGAAAAATAAATAAATATATATACTGTATTTCAACATCCAGGCCAATAACATTGTTTCTGCTTTATACTTGTTTCACAGTATGTTCTATATTTTTCCACATTCTAAAACATAATCCACCCATAAAAGACATGGTCTTGCATTTGGCCCACGGGCCTAAGTTTGAAATGCCTGTTCAAAAACATGAAATCCTGAAGTGAATATTCTCAAGATCATGTTTTTGATGCACAACATTCCGTCTGTTCTCACATTTGCATAATTCCCACGCTCCTCGTGCCGCCGCCTCCGTGTGAGTTTGTCTGTGTTTCGTTCCCACTTCATTTTCCACCTGGTTTTCATTAAAATCTTCAGTTTTTTTTAAAGTATTTTTCTTTTGAGTTCTTTTTAAAGTTTTTGACCCCATTCTGCCTCGAGTTTTTGAGCCGACAGGAAATTCCACTGGACTCGATCGTTACGTCCACTTTAAGCCCATTAGTCGGAGTCAGAGGTTTCTGTTTGTGGGAATCTTTGCACGGAGCAAGAAATGTGAAATATTTGTGTAAATGTTGGCCTTTAGGACAGGATCTTGAGGATATTTACTGTTGTGGAAAATGGAACATGGTTTTGGTTTTTGGAGAACGAGAAACATCATAGTATACATATATACAGTACATATACACCCAGTACACATATACTATCTGTACATATGCTATGTGTACGGGGGGCATCTCTGGACACCCCCCCGACCCAGAAATGGATTGATGGAGGGTATATATACAGTATATATTCCAGTATACATATATAGGGTATATATACTGTATATGTGCTGATGATGAAGGGGGTCAGCGGCAAAACCATTTCAATCTGTTTTGTAAAAGAGAGGACGGAAAAATACAACAAATATTTTCTTCTATCTGCTCCTTTGTGATCGTGGTTTGAAGAATGAAAAAAAGTAATGTGAATCGTATGTTACTTGAAACGAATAAAAAGAACCAAACCGCACCTTCTATTCCAGACAATGGTAAGCTAGCTCCCCAAATACCTTTATTATTAAGAGGAAAAACATGTAAATACATGTTTCTCCCCCAGGAAGAGTTTTGAAAATGTAAAACCTTTTGAACAAATCAGACAAATGTTGCATTCATCTTTTAATAAAACATGTGAGCCAATGTTTGATCCTTTGTGCTGGGAGCTGATTGGCTGAAGTCTTAAGTCTAAAATCTTAAAATCTTGCAAATAAGTGAAATGGATTTTTATTAGTAATGTGCTCCAGCTTCAAGTAAGTCATGTTTGAAAATGTGAAATATATTTGAAAAGAGAACATTTTAAGATAAACATATTTAATGGATAAGAAAGTATTGAGACACCTCCATCTTGTGGTAGAAGTTTAACAGGTTTGAGAGACAAGCGCTCAGACAGAAGGGCCGGGGGGAGCTGGAGATAAATGAAATGAACAGACGCTGAGTTTGAATCAAAAGTGAACTTGAGCTTTATTTCCTTTGGAACAGAGTTTTTGGTTGCAATTTATAAAAGAAAATGAAAAATAAAATACATGCAACAAATGTAAAACAAAATGGAGTCACGTTAGTTCAATGATTATTCTCTGGAGGAGGACTCACTTCCTGTTCACACCGAGACCATGTGGAGGTGAAAGGACCTGATGGTAAAGAATGTGAGAGTTCTGGAAAAAAACATCTCAAGATTCACGTCCAGTTCACTTATACGGAGTAGTGCTGTAACTACACTTTTGACCAAATTATCTGGAAATGATTCTTTAGATTCATCGATTATTTGTTTTAATCAGTAGAGTACGTGATCTGTGAGAAACTGACTAGAACCAGGAAGTACGACCACATTAGTCCTGGTCTCAGGTCTCTGCACTGGCTCCTGATTTTAAAGCAGCTCCAGCAAGTCCATCTGAGACATGTTAGTGCCATGTGACTCTGAGGAGCACAGGGACTGGCCTCCTGCTGGGACTCTGAGGAGCACAGGGACTGGCCTCCTGCTGGGACTCTGAGGAGCACAGGGACTGGCCTCCTGCTGGGACTCTGAGGAGCACAAGGACTGGCCTCCTGCTGGTGTCTAGAGTCAAAACTAAACATGGGGAGGCAGCGTTTCAGATTTATGCTGCTAAAATCTGGAAAAGTCTTCCTGAAAATGTGAGACAGACTTCTTCTCTGACAATGTTCTGGAAACAAACAGCTGAAGGATTGAATCTCTTTTACTGTACTTTGATTATTTATGATTTTAAAGTTTCTTTGTGTATGAACCGTGCTATACAAAATAAATTTGCCTTGTCTTGATTTTTTATGAATTACACCAAAACAAATCGTAACATAATTGATGGTTTGATTAGAAATACTGTAAATATAGCTCTGTTGGAGGCTGGAGCCATAAAACCAGTGTAAGGTTCAAAAACAGATTAATCGATTATTAAACCAGTTAACAACAGCCACTTTAGAAGCAGCAGTTACCATAGCGACACTGAGCGGGTTCAAATGAAGTGAGCGTCACAACCTCCAGGCTTTAAATCTGAGAATAAGTCACACATTTACATCAACGTTGAAATTAGTTTGATTTGATCGTTTTGTAGTTTTATATCGAACAAAATATATTAAAAAATAATAGTTTTTACCGGTAAATAAACTTTTATGAGGACATTACTTGTGACTTTTATTCAGTTATAATTCCCTTTAGTTTTCTTGCTCTTCTCACTGAGTCCAAAATCTGTTTAATTATAGGCAGCAAGTGGACAGGAAGTGAACAGGAAGTGAGTTTTCCCGATTTTCCACTATTCATAAAAAAGTGTTTTCTTTTACCCTGGATCTAAAAAACGCAACAAACTAATTCCTCTTTGTGAAAAACATTCTGATATTTTGGCTACTTTTAGTTTTGGTGCATTGCTTTTTGGAAGAACACATTTTTGGTAAAACACATTTTTGGTTACAGTTTACAAACAGAAATGTAAAGCTTTCTAAACTCAGGCACAAACATTGAACTGTGCTTTTGTTCGACCGTATTTACAACTTTACACATTTTTACAGTTGGACTTTGGCCACAAAACTCTTTGGAAGTTCATGAAAGACTGAGGAGCAGGTCTGGAACGAGAGGCAGGAGGAGAGCCCAGAAATGTGATTAAAGAGACTTAAAACTGATCAAAATGAAAAAAGTGATCAGAGTCGTGGAGGCAAAGATGGAGTATAATATTATTTGGTAATAATAACTGGGAAATTGGTATCAATCGATGATCTGATTCAGAGAAAAGATTGGCCCGATCCACGCACGGTTCCACACACTCTGCAACTGACACTGTAGCCAACACTGTAGCCAACACTGTAGTTAACACTGTAGCCAACACTGTAGTTAACACTGTAGCCAACACTGTAGCCAACACTGTAGTTAACACTGTAGCCAACACTGTAGTTAACACTGTAGCCAACACTGTAGCCAACACTGT